TTGACATGACCACCCCTCCATGTCTTAGCTGCCGGTAAAGCCAGAGCAGTATCCATCTTTTTTCTCATTCCTGGAGGGGCGGCTCCCACAGGGACTGGAGGAGGAGGAGTGGTCTCTAGACAAGGGAGGACGGGCAGCCTAGGCGGGCACGAAGGTCGCTTATTCGATAACCAACGGTATACGTGGCAAAAGTCTCATCGGAATCAACATTATTAATACATTAATAAAAAAGACATGGGCGTAAATGGCGCTAGGGGCGGTGCAGAGTCAAGCCGCAGATGAGAAGCGTGAGGTGTTATCAGTAGTCAAGTGCCTTTGGATGTTTCCAGGTTACGAAGCATGTGCATTTTTGTTTGTTTTGGGCTTCTTTGTCCAAAGATCACATGATCCGACAGTTTGGGGGTTAGTGGCTCGGCCGGAAAAACTCGAAACTAGCAGCCGAAGCGGGGAAAGATCCCCCGATCCATCGGTGGTGACAGCTACAAACCCTGCAAACGGTGCAAACACCAGCCACAAATCCACCGCGGAAATTCCTAGGGGTGGCAGTATTTTTGTTCCACCAAAAATTTTTGCCTGCGCCCTTTGTGCCAGAATAGCATAGCGATATGCAGTATACGCTCCCGCACTCCTTACCCGAGCATTCCTCCGGCCATGTCTACCGCGCAGGTCCTCGTATCGTGCGCTCCTCAACCGTTGTGGTGGCAAATTGCAGGTGGAAGCCACAGTAACACGCGAACAAAAGGCCTGGTTCTACCTCCGAATACGAAGTACATGTGTCCTTGGGGTGCAGTCCCACACAATGGCGAGCTGGCAGGCGATATCCCCAACAATCTCAAGCAACATCAAGAGTCTCGTCCCCATTCCCTCTAACGTCCAATTCCCTCCATTTTCCAGAGTCAGTATCTTTTTGCAAGCGACTCCCTGGCAAATCTCCACCTGGGGGAGGCCTCGACCTCTGCTGGATCCAGCGTCGGGTCCACTATCTGTGTGTGACAAGTTGGCGGTGTGTGAATACTCGTATGCACTCCGCAAACATAACTTTGCGAGCGAACCGTCTGTGTCAGAATACCCCGACCATCAAATGCAGCCGGTGGAGATCATCTCGTCTGCTTCTTCTCCAGGTTTGGATGCATGATACCAGCAAGACTCGGCATGTTGACCTCTCCACCGTCGGATTGCCAGATAGCTCACGGTTGAAGGAGTTGCTGTCAATTCTGATACCAAGACTTATGCAAGCCACACTGGCGCCATCACCCCCCCCAAATGGATCGTGGGTGGGTATAGCTGACTTGCGGCTTGCCACTACTACTGATATCGGCCAGCAATTGCCGTTCGTTGGGCCAGAAATGGCATACCCTTTGGTACCCAACTCCGCCGCCACCGGAGCTCTCTGATCCATCGCCGTTTTCAAGTTGCACATGCTTCGTTTCGAACGCATGGCGCACGATCTTTCAACGCTCGAGCCGCCGAAACAATTATAAACAGAAAATGTCACACATAATATGCGTCTAGGCGCCCTCACCAAATTTGTTGGGACCAGATCCCTTGCTGATCTATGCAGTGATGGCGGGGTGCAGTCGCCCCAGGTCTCTTGCTCGCAGCCTTTTCTCTTACGTGATTTGTCGAGTCTGGAAATTTTTCATGCGAGTTGCTTTTTGACATGTGAAAATTCCTCGTCCTGCCAGGTTCACACCTTGCACGTCCTGGAGCAACCCGTCGCCAACCTGCGAGTCCGAGTATACGACGGAGACCCTCAAACCCTTTCTGATCGCACAAGTTTGCGGACTCCGTCTCCAGAATATCTCTGGAGGTCGTGGAGATCCCCAGACCTTCGCTCATCTTTCCAAGGGTTCACGCATCCACTGTACGAATTTGTCCTATCGACCGACCCTAGCACTGCGACTTGAGGCTAGAACCCTTTAAACGGGACAGGTCACCATGCATCGACCGCGTTCCCTTCTGAGGTTGAAGCACACGAGAGCAGCAACCTCTTTCAGCTTGTTGGGACCTTGATCGGCGTGCTCCGTCTGAGCATTATCAAGGTGGCTCGATAGTCAAACCCTCCCTTGAGGTCCATGCGATCGAGCACATTTTGACAGTCGAACCACCTAGCCGATCCTCGCTGCGTGTCGGCCACTCGTTTGGTCGACGATCCTCGTTTTTAACTCAACCACAACTACTTACCTGTGAGAGCTTCCTCCTTGGGCGTACATGTTTGAAGATCTGGAAACTTCCAGGATATTCAATGTCTCAAACCCTCTACGTCTTTCCTTTAGAATGGTCTCATCGTCGATGTCGAGAACCATGCCCACCTTGCAACCGGTTTGCTCAATCTGCCTTTCTCGTGGCAAAACTCTTGTCATTGTTGTGGCCAAGGCCACTAATGCGTGTAGGAGCGAGGGGTTTGCAGAGTGCACGTTGATGTCTTGCGTGATCGCATCTCCTTATCAGAGCATTCATGATTAACGTGGTTTGATTATGCTAATTAGCAACAGAATCTCAACTATCAAGCCAAACTTTGGGCTCATGATCAGTAACCGACTGCATTCTGTGCTACACGACATCCCCCTCCGTTGTTGTGAGGCAGCTGTCACTGTCAATCTCCCCGCCTTTGGGTTACACCGTCGACTGTGTCTGTGTCACCTTTCGAGACATCATTTCCCTTGTGTTCTATTCTGCATGAACTCCGCCGTGAACTTCCACGGCATGACCTGGATCTTTCGATCTCCATTGTGCCAGGATGGCTCGGTGTGACAGTGTGTCCCAGCACGCAATGTTTGCACAAGCAAACCCTCTCATGATCCCATCCTCCCTGCGTCATTGCCCTGAGAGCTGGAAAATCAGCATGCGACTCCACCCTCCAGTCCAATCGAAGTGCTCGCTCTTCCCTTGAGACTCGTGTTGTCGACCCTGAAGGTCTGGCTTGCCATGACATGCAACCACGGAGAGAGTTTTCCTCACCCAAAAGGTTTCGACGGACTGCGCAATGCTCCGTTGTTCGGGTAGTTGTCTCGAGGTGCTGCTTTGTCGCATGGTACTCGATCAAGACTCAGGAACAGGAACCATGTTGACTTGAACCAGCTGATCAGGGCGAGAGGGGACCTCGAGGTTGGCGGCGTGAATCCGATGCTAGCGTCTGCCTCCCATTGTGCTCACAACACGACATACGTCCATGCAGAGAAAACATGTCCACGAAGCACCGAACTGCACACACCGAGAGGTATCATGGCCTGTCACCTGAGTCCACTTCAGCTGCTGGTGCTCGCTGTTCGATGTTGTCGCCGTTGCAGTATGGACCTCTTGTGAGGGACTGTTTGTTGATTCATGCTCGAGTGACCGATCTTCTTGTAGGAATTCCCATTGAGGGAGTCACTCGATGGTACAGTAAGCTTGTGATTGAGCGACCCCCTCCATTGACGAAGGACCTTTGGACGCGCTGTGACAAGCATTGCAGAGAAGTTGTTGAGGCTTACCATACGGAATAAAAAGATGTTGTTGTCGCAAGTCCAATGCAGCAGTGACCACTCAAGTCATTGATGTCCTGAGGATCTTTGCCGTACAGGTATACATAATTTCGTTTTCGTTCTCCTCGTGTGCTCTCTCCCATCTTTTACATTTCGTTCTTCGCTTCGGTACTACACACCCGGTACCACACGTCACGCACGCTGACTATATACCTACCTACCTACCTGCATAAGGAATACCAGACCGCCTGCTCTTCAACTTCAGCTCCAGTTCCAGCTCCATTTCCATCCTCGTCTCCATCTTCCCTGTGTCCTAGCCTCGTCAAACATCTCCACCTCTTTCGCCGTGGCTGTCAGACAGAAGGCTGTGAGGCCGGGAAACAGAGACAAGGGAAAAGAGGACGGTCACATCAGTGAGTGAGTGACTGAGTGGGTGGATGAGTAAGTGGATTAAGTCCGAACGGGTTCGCGTCGCACGATATTAGAGAGTGTGAGTGTGAGTGAGCGTGAGCGCCGAAGGGGGCGAGATAGATTGAGAAGGGAGACGGGGGTTACATATACATCCATGGCTCTTCGACGACAGCGACGAGGGAGACTTGACGGTGGACATACCATCTAACTCGGTGCTCACATATACATTTACATGCTCGGTATACTTATACTTGTACCCGTACATATCCTGCCGGAATACCAGTCTGTAGTGCGTGCGTCGAGGGATGCGTCTATCCATCCATCTATATTCCTATCTATCTAGATATGTAGCTATGTACCTACCAGCCTATGAACCTGTAGAGTACGGATCCCCAGGTCTTGTCCGGGTCGCTCTGCCTCTTGACAATCCAGATTGCAAAGGCCACGACCTCAAACTCAACAGTGTGAGAGCCTCTCTCGCATAATCAAAGAGACGTCTTGAAGCGCGGGTCAATACCCGGATGTTTTCGTTTGCTTCGTTGTAAGGAATCTGGGTGTGGAATCCAAATTCGCCGTCAGCCGGGAGAGGTGAAGCTTCTCTTTGGTCTCGTTGTGAGTGTGTCATCAACGGCTTCTCTGCTGTGTTCCATGGTTCTGGGCTGCTCTGATGGTGCCTTCTCACCATAGCTGAGTGGAATCTCTCGAAGGTCTCTGACTGTCGTAGAGTCTCGTAGTTCTGGCCCACAAAGAGAACAAGACTGTATCGTTCGTCCAGCTGCGGTGCTGGCAGCTGATGTGCAGGCTTTGAATGCTTCACCGTATATCCAGCCATGAGGCACAATATGATCGACCGTTGTATACCGCCTCGCCGCCACTTGGTCCACCGTATCGATCCACTTAAATTCAATATACAAGTTCCTCCTAGTCAGTCCTCACTTCGATCGCGTCCTTGGATTCAATTTGAACTTGTGCAGACACCCAGACCAGCCTCCGTGAGCTTCACAGGCACCATCCTACCTGTTCTTCTATCTCTGCTTGTTGTCTTCTTTGTTGATGGCCCCCTCTCCACAAAGCGGTGACTTGTTTGACACCTCGCCGTGGATCTATGAACCCAACTTGCTCACAATGAATCCTGTGCTCGGAATGGACAACGAAGAAACCCGTGACATCTCAGTGGACTCTGGCACGGTCAGTGGTGACGCGACAGAACAACAGGACGAGAAACAAGAGTCGGCGCAGGAGGTGGACATGAGCGAGAAAGAAGAGAAATCACAAGTCGTCTCCGATGACTCCAACGTTGACAACGCCGTCGCCGTCGCTGCGCTCCACAGCGGTAACGACGCTTCTACCACCAACGCTCCGCCTTGCGCCGAGACTGATCAAGACACAAAAACCAAACTCGCCATCAGTCAAATTCCCACCGACATCCACAAACGCAGCACCTTTGACAACACCTACCTCGAGTTTCCTTTCACCCTCGACGCACACAAGGTCTTCGTGAAAGACTTCCAAGACCGCTGGGGCTTCGGCTGTTTGAGGTACGCTTGCAACAGCTTGAGATTCAACTTTCAGAAGAACTTGTCGTGGCCTTGCTAACCTGGTTGTTTCGAGATAGACACGATTACTTTTCCGCAACCAGCAAAATCATCATCAGAATGACCACCGTCCTCCACAGCGTCTTCGCCTGGAACGTTGGCGACCATGTCGCCAACGCTCTGCGCATTCGCAAGTACCACCCTGAAATCCTCATCGCCGACGTGGCCGCCCAGATCAAAAAGCGCACCAACTCGGCCGTCGAACTTGCCGCCAACGGCAGCTGGTGTTCTCCCGATGTGGGCTTCGCCCACGTCGATGCCTACTACCCCGGTGTGGTGTTTGAGATCGGCTACGCCCAGCAGAAGATGGCGTTTGGGGAAGTCGCCCAGGCGTACATCCAGGGCTCAAATGGTGAGATACAGGTTGTCGTAGCGTTTGAGATCGAGTACCCTGCGGCCAAGCAGGCCAAGTACTACGTCTGGAAGAAGAAGGTGGCCTCGGATGGCGAGATCCAGGCCGAGTTGGCCGATGAGGAGGTACGTTCTCGCCTATCCCATCGCACTCGAATCTTCCCTTTCACTCTCTCTTCTCTCGTGACTGAAACCATCCGTCGTCTGACTGACAATCACTTGTAACCCTACAGGAGTTCCAAAAGGCAGACGGAACAGTGAACAAGGACTGCCGCGGCATCCACCTCAGCCTGGCCGATTTCTGCCCTGCCCGCATGATCCCCGGGGAGGCGAAGCCACTGCTCAACCTTCCCACCTGTCTCGGCCACGACACCGGCATCCACATTCCAGCGTCGGAACTGTGCTTCTTACTCGACATCGCGGTCAGAAACCACCAGCTCATGCAGACCCACCTGCAGACACAGGCATGAATAAGCCAGAGGCGAGATGGAGATGGAGACGATACAGGATCTGCATCAGCATCGGCGTTCGGAGAGAATCAGCAAGAACAACAAGAACAACATCTCGGCTGGCTCACGAAGCCATAGGCACTTTTTCGCCTTCTACTGTATGACTAGATGATACCCGGCCCAGTGAGGCACGCGCAGAGCTTTTCATTCAAAAGAACAAATTGAAACTGAAACTGAAACTGAACATGATTCTCCCTCTCTTCCTTCTCACGTCTCACTCACTTCTCACTCACTCTCTCTATAGAACTCACTTCACATCCCCAAATCTCCTTTCGTACATCATGCGTCCACGCCTCGGCTTGCCAGGTACGGTGAGGTGAATTGGCTGTGCCTCGTACTTGTAAACAAACCGACGTTCGTCTAGTTGGATCCCGCCAAGAGTCTATAGTAGTCCGATATGTACTAGTCTCCAGCCTTGGCGTGGAAACCAGCGAGCCCGACCACAGGGCTGGCCACGCCTTGGCACGCTAGGTTCCAATTGTACCTGCATAAGTACTTGGCGAAGTGGGTATGGTGCATACATATATACACGTCGCGCGAAAGGTGCTTCGCCGTAGAATACTAGGTAGCGAGTCAACTACTTTCTTGGGAATGTACGCAAAAGACCTCTAGAACCTTACCTTACCTTACCTTAGCATAGCTTGGGAGCGAAAGCTCGGCGATATCAACGTAGGGTCCTCCCCGGTTCTTTTTTTTCCCAACTCCAAAAAGCGCGTTGATGGAGGAGGGGAAAGGGTCGACACCCCGCCACCACGCGCCAATGCCAACGGTGTGTCTCTGTCGCCATCATGTCCTTCGGTCGATTGACTTGGGTGCAACGCCTTTCAGAACGTGCAATGCCAGGAGGGGGCGGGGACAACAACACACCACCTGCGTCTCGCCCTCTGCGTTGTACGAAAGTGCTGCTGCCCTGTGGAGGACCGTGAGATCCACTATTTGCAGGGTCGCGATGTTGCAGGCGGGGGCCTCGATGGTCTTATTGTGTCATTTTCATCGAGTTGACCAGGTATATTGACGTGGTTGTGCTATACTGACTCGTCGACAGACTGGTGATGGTGATGGTGGTTGTCTGCAGGTCTGATGCCTCGCCATAGGTGTCGGAGGAATTTCGTCCCTCATCACTGGGGCTGTGCCTCTTTGAAACAGTTCTCTCAACCATCGGGAGTGGCCAGACACAGGAGTTCGTTGCCCCCCACCTCTCCCGCACGTGCACGTCGTCATCTCAAATGTCGAAGATGAGATCGAAAGCACCCGTCCCACTACCTCGATTTTCTTTGTCTGAAGAAGGCCGCTGCGTTGTATGTTAATTGGAAGATCTCGACGTTTCCCATCTGTGGCACGACACTCTGGTCCGCGTACCAACTCGGGCAGAATGCAATACACATACATACATGCCTGGGAGAGGATCGAAGAATAGAAGGGGGGGGGGGGGGGGGGGGTTGGCAACTGAAATCGGATCAAAAGGAGTCCTGGAGGCGCCATACATTGGCAGTCCACAATTCGCGTCTGTTGGGATACATGGGTTGTTTTCTCGTCTTTTCTTCTGTCCCAGAAGTGGTTTTGGTAGAGGTATTACTCGTACAATACATAGATGAGCTCACTGGGCTCGATTTTTCCTGGTGGGTATGTCCCTTCACGTGCTTGTTCATTACTAGTACAAAGGCGATTTTGGCCGGTTCCTTTTTGAAATCTCAGGATTTCGGTTTAGATAGCCCCTTCTACATCATCTGGCAGCGCTGCAGTGGGTTTTGGAACGATCGGCACAGTGTTCTTGGCACGTTGTATTTCGTCCCATTTCGCCCGAGCAGACTCTGCGAACTCCAGGATTTCGACAAGTTCTTGCACCGAAAAGTAGATCGCCATATTGTGCATTGAGGGTGGGATGCGGTCTGGCGGCGCTATCTCGAGCATGGTTATTCGTAAAGAGTCGCCTGGAACAAGCTTGCCATCCTCGGTTCGTATGTCCTAGACACCAACGGTAAGGAGTTTGTATAGTACCCAGGACGAAATACTAACTTGGACATGCGCTTTGAGCTTGCCTCCACTGCATCTCCAGGTCAAGAAAGTGGCTTTTTTGGAGTGGTCGGCGTCGAAGTCGATACAAACGAGGACTTGTGTCTGTCGGTCACTGTTGAGGAAGTAGAATTCAGCCAAGTCGTTTAGTCGAGCGCGCTTCTGTGTGCATGCAATCTCCAAACAAAAACCATGATGGATTGAGAAAAAGTTGCTGTAGAAATTGTCTGGTTGATGGTAGCCCTTGTTGGTGGAATCTTTGGCTTTGGCATCTGAGGAGCCACTATCAACGATGTGAGCCACACATGCTTCTTCTTCTGGCGAAGAGGACAGGTGATCCAGCTTCTTGAAGAAATAGCGGGAGAATTGGCATGCGTAGATATTGTGGGTGTACGAATGTGCTTCGTGAACAAAGATCCCAAGCTCGGAGAAATACCCAGACCTGTATCCCCGAGTTACTAGCGGTCCGGAACCTGACACTCCATTTATCTCTCAACCATACCGGGCTTTCTCGCTCACACCACACTCTTCGAGGCGCTGTCTTAGAAGGTCCACATGGCACGCGTCGAGCTGGTATTCGGTCCAGAAAGGAGGCTCGACAGCACGGTGCTGGGCGGTGATGGCTTTGAGAATGGACCTCAGAGCGGGAGGGTCGTTGGATGCACCTGCAAGCTCGGTGTAAAGATCCCAAGGACTCTTCGGAGTGTCAGAAAAGCCTGCAGTTTCCAAGCACGTATTATCTCTTTCTTCAGACTCTTTTTCGCCGGTGGTGACATGGTTGTCAAGTGAAGTTTGGTCTTTGGTCTTTGGGCTTAGATCGTCACGGCAATGTGTAGAGGACGGCATGATATCGACTCAATGCCAGCCTTTTGGAGGAGCAGAATACACTCATAGGTAGAGAGAGGAACGCAGATTGTCAATAGAGTAAACAAAGGCTGTACTTTTGGTTACGATGCACGCTGCACGTACCACCCACATCACTTGGTGCAGTGAATTGTTGATGCGGGGAATGCGCGTTTGTATGTCACTAAAAGTACGTGTGGGGCAATCCTCCCTACGGTCGATCAAGATTCTGCTACGGTCGATTATTTATCCGAGCGAAACGCAAGACACTTTCGGTCGGAGACTCGTTTGATCCAGTCAGTTCGAAACAACTCGGGGACTGTGCAGCAGGGGTTGCACACGTCTGGATTTTCAAGGACATCGGGAGAATATGTCGAGATGCATCGCGTCGGGTGTCCATCATTCGAGGTCAAAGTGACAAAGCATCGAGTTACGAAGAGGATAAGACAGAAATGTGGTGTGATTATCGAGCCATTGTACTCGGTACAAGTACCAATTACGATATTTGCGTGGTAGAATAAGAAGATGAATAGTCTGCGGGAAGTAATATGCAAGTACGAGGTACATACGTGGGAAGTGAGGCGCAGCACGGCGTAGTTAAGCAGCTGGTCTGTCTTGTCCTCTTCTGTACCATCCACCTCCGTGGACAGTAATTACCCGATGCTCTACTTAAAACCCAACTACCTACCAGGTACATAGCTTGAGAGGTAATTACCAGTTGAGTGGTTCTATTCGAGTTCTCTGTCAAGTCTGCTGTCTTTATTCTCCAATTCCCCAAGCCACATCTCCAACGCACCTGTTTGCGCGCCAACACCCAACAATCATGACCACAGCCCAAACTCCACGACTCAATTTCCGACCGCCGTCGACGGCTTCTCCTACAAATCCGGACACCTTCAAGTCTCCTCATGTCTCCTTCCTACAGGGCACGTGGCATGTCACCCACTCGACGCTTCCCATGTGGAAGAACAACCGCAATGTAACCATCACCTACACGTCCTTGCCCCAGAATGCCGAGCAGCTCGATGACCTGGTCGAATACCAGCCCCTGACCTCGGACAAGCACAAGCGAGTCGAAGGTGTCGATACCCCGGACGCCAACACAAAAGGCGCATACAACTGGCGCGGCAAGGGACTCTTGAAGGTCGCATCGAGCCACTGGGAGATACTGGGATATGGCGAAGAAGAGGGCGGCTGGGTCGTCACATACTTCCAGAAGACCCTATTTACACCTGCGGGCATCGATATCTACGCTCGACGCAGGGGCGGCTTGTCTGAGGAATTGCTCGAGCAGATCAAGACCGGGATAAGAGCCATCGAGCACCACCACATCCAGAAACTGGCCGATCTCATCTTTCTCATCAAACATAACTGGTGACGGAATCTACACTTAATGTGATGGGAATTGTTCATCAGAGGTGCCGACGGCTCATCCAACAATCCGACCCGTCCAAGCTCTGATACCAGCCACCGTCAAGAAGCTCTTGCTCCATGGTCGCCCATTTGTGGATCTTGCCTCCTTCGGCCGTCTTGAGATCTAGGTCCGCAAGCTTGACGTCTACAACATCAACCCCCCCATCGCCGGCGTTGGTACTCCGCCTGAGAGCTAGAAAGACGCTGCAGTCCCTCAACGCCATGGCCACGCCAAAGTCCTTGCCAGCTGGGTGGAGAAAATCGTCCAATGCCACGCACCCATACTCTTTCTGAAGAGTCTGAAGATGTCTCAAGGCAGGCTGGACCTTTTCTGCAAAGACCGTCACAAAGTCGTCAATTCCATTCTCGAGTGGCCAGATATTCGCCAGCGTCCGCTTCAACACTGCATGTTCATCCGCCAACAAATCCAACGGGCAAAACCCCGAGTCACCTCTCCCTTGGTGAGCTCCAGCTTTTCTCCGCATTGCATTAAGTGCACACGTCCTGCAGTTTCTTGCGTCTACAGGCGCACTGGGACTTTGCACCAGCCATTTGGGCTTGAACTCGACTAGCCAGTCGATCCCTGGGCCCTGCAAGTTCTGCATCAGAATTCCATACTGCTCATTCTCGTATGAGGGCAAATAGACGTGTCGTCGGTGATGATGGCGGATCTTTTTGCCTTTGACGTCTTCTGCCGAAAGGGCAGATAAATCCACGCTGTCCATCTCTCGCAATTCCTCGTTTGCCCTACTCACCATTTCTGGCGTGAGCTTATACAACGCCTGCTCCAGCAGCAATGATCCGTGCTCCTTGTTGAAAAGCGGTACGATGCGGTCCCGAAATTCCGATATGACCTGCACCGCCGGTTTCGTGAAGGCGAGGTCTTTGCGGAGACGTATGACGCAGCAGTTTGAGTGTTGCTGAAGAGACTGCGGTGACAGGACGGAGACGCTGTAGATGACGTTGGCGGCGCCTTCGGCCAGGTATTGCAGCTGGAGGGTGGCGGTGATCAGGCTCGAGGGGCATGATGAGGAGGATCGATGAGGTGACAGGGACATTGTGGAGGCGGGTCAATTCTTCTGGCCGGCTCCAAAGATGTTATACTCCACCGTGAAGTTCCGACGTGAATACTGTAGACAGCCTTGTGGTTTCTGCCCAGAATACTGTATATCGTATCGGTATACAAAACTTGCAACAGGCGATGAAGAAGCCTACCCGTCTCGCCGCCGCTTCTTGGGTCTTTGTGTAGCACTGCAAGACCTTTTACCGGTCTGATATCCAATAAAGAAACTCCTTTTGTATGAGGAAGGGTGTTTTGTCTGCGTGGCACAAGTGTCGGTTCCGTCCCCTCCCCTCCCCCCCCCAAGGAGATACTGCAAAGTGATCTATCTATCTATCTATCTATTGAGAGCGCTTTAAGCCCCTTCTCCTATCTGTTTTTCCCGTCCCCTCCCTTGCCGTACTTTTGCTCCCTTTTCTTTTCTCTTCTCCTGTCTGTCACAGCCTGGCTCAGCTCAGCTCAGCTCAGTAACCTCTGTCGCAGTTCAAGACGGAAGTGTTTCTCAGGCGGGGCTATGTCGATCACCCTGGGTGTACGAGAGACGGGAAGATGCGTCCAGAGTATAGGGTATAGAGTATATAACCGTTCTGGTACGAGTGTGTGCAAGTTGCAGATGATGGACAGTCTTCACACGTACCGAGTGTGTAACGAGTATGTGTCTGTGTTTGTTGTTGAATTAAACAAGGGCAGTCACTGTACCGCGAAGGCTTGTGGTTTTTCCACGAAATCCTTCGGTGCCCTCTCGGCGTTTAGGTTGTCATTTCGGGGATAAGCAGCATCGTGGTTGATTTGTCCCGCCATCATGGCCCTCATCACCATCACCAAGTCACCAAGGACCGAGTACTCGGTAGATACAAAGATCCTGCATTTCAATTGTCATCAACTATCGCAAGCCCATGCCAGCGCCAGTTCCGGTGCCAGTGCCACTTATATCGCGTCCTACTAGCAGCATTCTCTACATTTTTGTGATACCAACTGATTCTCGCCAGATATCCTTTGCTGGCGGAGGAAAGCATAAGACTTGGAAAAGAGACGGGAGAAACTTGAACAAGGGGCATTTGACGTGGGCTTCTAGACACATCATCCTTTCCTCATTTGCATTACTGGGACAACAGAAGAGGGATCAATGGCATTGACGACAGACCTCTCCTCGCATCTCGCCTTGGTGACCGGAGCAACAGGCGGAATAGGCAAAGCGACATGCCTCGCCCTGGCCCACCTCAACTGCTCCATCGCCGTGCACTATCATAGTGCCTCGGACACGGCAGAAACCCTCGTCGCACAGCTCAAATCGATGAACGTGCGCGCCTCTGCCTTTCGCGCGGATCTATCTTCCTACGACGAGACGCGCTCTCTCCACACCGACGTCGTGCGAGAAATGGGTCATCCAACCATCCTCTTCAACAACGCCGGGCTGACCATGGGGGTATCCCGAGTCAAGGATATCAGCGAGGTGTCCGTGGAGGACTTTGAGAAAACGTGGAGAGCAAACTGTGGCACAGCATTCTTGCTCACCCAGTTGTGTATCCCCAAGATGGTTGATGCCGGTTGGGGCAGGATCATCTTCTGTTCCAGTGTCGCGGGCTTCACCGGTGGTGTGGTGGGACCCCATTATGCGTGAGTGCTCTTCTGCGATGCAACGTGTTTTGTTATTGTAAATTGTCTGCTCACTCAACAGATCCTCTAAATCGGCACTCCATGGGTTGGTGCATTGGCTAGCTGGCGCTTATGCAAAGACCGGCATAACCATCAACGGTGTTGCACCAGCATTGATCGAAGAGACCAAGATGCTGCCTGGAGGGTCGGCAGAGTTGTCTGCTAGTAAGTCACTCTTCTTGCTGTCTCCGGGACCTGAGTTTGCTGACCCAGACATTGCTCAGAAATTCCCATTGGGAGACTGGGAAAGCCTGAAGAAATCGCAGAGACAGTGCTGTGGATTGTCAAGACTGGTTATGTCCACAACAAAATCATCGCCGTCGATGGAGGCATGTTCATCCAGTAAGACGGGCGGGCATAGCCAGAGGACTGTGCCAACAACGTGGTTTGAACCAATGCCTCGACTCGCTTCAACCGCCAGCCTCTTTCTTCTTCCTCGCTTCCTCCTCTCTTTCCCGTTTCCGCTGCAGAAATCTCTCTCTGGCACTCATCTTATCGGCTTCGCTGACCTTGCTCTTACTCTTGTCCTGTTGTTGTTTCTGCTCCTCCACTTCGACCTGCTTCTGTTTCTCCGTCATCTCCTCGATCTGTCGCTCCATCATCCGTGACTGTCTCTCGCGCTGAGCATGGCGCGCATCTACTGCCTTGGATGATCTCCAGTATTCGTCCTTTCGAGCAGATTCTGGTCCCGTGGGGGCTTGTTGCTCTCTCCCGGGCTTCTTGGCCGCCACATTCAGGCCAGCGGACAGGAGCTGTCGCTTGTCGACCACCTCACCTTCATCGTTGACGACGATGCGTGCTCCTTGCTTGTTCAGTTTCTCAGCAATCTTCGTTTCAGATTCCTCTTCCTCAATCGGCGTCGCCTCCTCTAGGCCGTCTTCCTTTCTCTTTGCGGCCTCCTCCTCGGCCTTTTTGATCAACCGCATCCTCTCTTCGTCCTTCTCTAGCATCCGCTTGTGGAAAGCGGTCATGCCTCCACCTTTCCTGCGCCGTTCTTCCTCCTCTGCTTCACGTTTTTTCTCCTCTTCCTCCATGCGCCTGATCTCCTCCTGCTGCTTCTTATATGCTCCAGTCACGAATTTCTCCTTGTCAGCGTATTCATCTCCCTCTGCTTCTCTTTCACGCTGCAGGAGCTTCTCTCGGGCTCGCAGCTGATCTCTCTTTCGCACCTCAGCGCTCTGTAGAAGTGATCCCATGTATTTGGGGCCTGACGATCCCCCTGCCTCGTTTGGCTTTTTCTCTTTCTCTGCGTGGAACGTTTCGTAGGCAGCGTCGTAGTCGTAGACAGATGCATCGATCTTCGAGGCTTCTTCGTCATGCAACTTGGCACTGCGCAGGGCCGACAGATTTACATACTTGTCCGTCTCCATTGCAGACCCCGAGGATTTTGATTTGTGAAGCTGCAGACCGTACTGCGACAGCTTGGGCGACTTTCTCGGAGGTTCGTGGTCATGGTCGTCATCGTCAAGATCTCTTAAGGGCCGTAGAGGTTTTGAGGTCTTCTTCGCGCCATAAGCAGGCGGAGGCGTGGCCGCGGCCTCCTCGCTTCCATCATCACCATCATCGAAGAAGGCTTTGCGTTTCTGCGCGGGCTTCGAGACGCCTGAGGATGTTTTGGCGGAGTTGAGGCCGAAAGTGAGGGGGGGCATGCCGCAATAGTGATGATCGCAGTCAACACCGCCGACAACGGACTTGTGGATTGCGTCGAGAATGTAGATTTACAATGCGGACGGGAGATTCATCTCTTGACGTGCCACGACGACACCAACATTTTCCCCGGAGTTGTGCCGAGCCTCGTCTCGATCACCACTTCCAGTGTTTGATGTCTTTCTTCTACACATTTGAGTGTGCGACACTGAAATAACTCCGCCGGTCAAGGCCGATCTCGCATCTCAAGGACTATCGAGGGAGCGGTGAATTCGCGCCGCGTGAAAGGAACATGTCATACTACTTCGTTATCGTCTCACCCACCGACTCGCCGCTCTTCGAATTGACCTTCGGCACATCCAAAGCTGGCGGTGACGGTGTCGCTCGGTTCCGCAATGGCGAGACCTCTCGGTATATGAACCAATTCATCGTCCACGCTGCTCTCGACGTCGTGGAAGAAGTGCAGTGGCTCACGCCAAACATGTGGCTCAAAGTCATCGACAACTACGCACCCACCAATTCGCACATCAGCTGCTTTATGACGGGGACGAATGTGCGGTTCATGCTTCTCCACCAACCTTCGGCAATGACGAACTCCTCTGCTGGGGTTCGAGCATCGACCACGATTTCATCGACTTCGATCCCACAGAATCCCACCAGTCCACAGACAGAAGAGGCCATTCGGCAATTTATGAATGAGGTCTTCGAACTCTGGGTGAAGACTTTGATGAACCCATTCTACACGATTGGAAATCCCATCAAGAGTCCCGTCTTCAAGCAAAGAGTCACTGCTGCTGGCCGCAAATGGCTGTGATGACTGTGCTCCGAGTCATTGTGTGGGATGTGCCTTTGTCCGGACACTTGTTTGCAGACGCAACCCTCAAACGTCTCTGACACGAAAACAATGCCTTGAAGATTACCACCTTTGTGTTGTCAACCTACAATACACCTGGACTCGTCGGCGCGATGCATTGCAGTCGATCATGACTTTATGCGCGGAGAATCGCTTGCACCTGTGGCGCAAAGATTATTGTTTGGAACGTCGTCCGATCTATCCGCTACAGCTTGCCGTAATAGGGGCTGGTCATTTTGAGCCAGGTAAAGCTTTGATGCCCATAAACGACGAGCTAGAACTCTGATCTGACGATCTTAATGCAGGCGTTATTGCCTCGTGATAGGCCACAAATCCAAAGCCACCCCCCGAAGCTGTCCTCTGCAATGGCACCTGTGCCTGGAACGGACTTCAGTCTTCATGACCAAATACTACGTCGATCAGCAGCGAATTACCTAGACTGGCCTCTGTGGGCTCGGATATTACTGGTGGTGCTGGTAGTTACGGTCTGGATTCCGGCATACTTTACCGTCCAACTATTCATGGAATGCTCTTGCTTCAAGCGTCGTAGGAGAGGAGAGACAGGTTGAAAAGGGCATGCGCATCTCTACATTGTCACGAACTAGGGGTCGGGGTCCAGCGCATTATGGATCTATCGGAGCTATATGTCTGCTCGTGCAATATGAGGCTGATACAGATGTGATGCATGGATAGATTGGTTAGGAGGCTCGGAATGCGCACTGTGCAAGATGATTGCTTCGGTCATTACACGTTGACTGTAGCCCCCTGTCTTGTACAATTAATATGCTGTTGCTTGAGAAGAACGGCCACCAGTAATACACATTCTATCCCATACCAGGCGGGAATGAGGAAGGCTGGTGGAGAAGCCTGCCAGTGGTCAGGCTGGTGTCCTGGATTATCTCTTGATATCCCCGTGTTCTTCGGCCCTTCTTTTCTCCGAAGTTGTTCCGAACATACAAAAAGCGCATCGTCACCAACACTTGGTCCGCAGCTCTTCCTATGTACCAGACAGCACCTTTCTAGACGACGGATTTGTATTGATTGTACGTGATTTGAATCAGTCACAGCTCTAGGTGTAACCTGTCCCTCAATCGCTTCTTGCAGGGCGCGTCCACCAGTGACATAGACCGCATTGGTGCGGTTGTTGTCCCACAGCTAGGTACATACTACCATCCCGAGACAGGCACAAAGTTACGATATTGCTCCACGACACGAGCGCTCCCTATAACGGAAGTCGACGAGAATCGGATCTGACAAACCGATCAAGAAGAGCCGGCTGCTTCGATTCCAAGCATTCCGTGTGCATGAGGTTTACTGGCTCCAGCGGACTCGAAGATTTTCCTGGCTGTCTAGGAGTCTGTCTAATTTTTGGACGGAGTTTGCAGTCCTCAGAGAATATCAAGCGGTAAAGGAGATTCGTCCCAGAAGCGCAACACAGTTTGAGGACCACCTGTCGTCGTTGTCGAGCTTGCGCCGTCTTGGCTGGCCACGCCCATCCGGTCCACAATGTCCCACTCGAAGCGCAACACGTCTTTGGCCTTCTTCACCTCTCACGAACGCTCTCTCCTGCGCTCAAGCTGGGGGACTCAAACAACCCGACTTACACGCGACTCGTTTCTGCCCTTTGGATACTGCCGCCTGTGTCTGGGCTATGCCAAGGTCCCCGTGGCTTGCTGTGGGGGAAACAACAGCAATCTAAAAGTCCATCTCTTTTGCAGGGAATGTGCGCTGAACGATCTCATGGCGCAGAGAAAGGAGATTAAACGGCTAGAGAAGGAAGCCGAAATGAGGGAGAGGGAGGAGCGCGAGGAGAGAGCGAGAGAGGAAGAAGAGAAGAGAAAAAGGGAGTTGGAGGTTTTTGAGAGGACCGCAATGGGTTTTGCGGACGATGGGATTGAGATGATAGGAAGGAAGAGGAAGAGGGAAGCCGAGGAGTTGCATGCCCGTCTGTCAGAAACACAGAGTAATGGTGAGCAAGGCGGCGAAAGGAACAAGAAGCCAAAATCCTCCGAAGCGAGTTTCTGGATCCCAGGCTCCGACAGCCTCTCCGGATCCACAGCTACAACGTCAACATCTAAACTGCCAAAGCTCCATCCACTGTGTCCCGCATCGACACCGGAGGATAAACACAACTACTCGCTGAAATCGCTCATCGCGGTCAATTTTGCAGAGATCGAGCCAGAAAAGGGCGCGGGTGCGGATGAGCCAACGAGGATCTGTCCAAGTTGTAAGAAGGCCCTGACTAACACCTCGAAACCGATGTTGGGAACGGCAGAAGGGTGCGGGCACGTCGTCTGCGGCGCCTGCACTGACTTGTTTCTGGTGGGCACCGCATCCAAGAGTGTGTCGTCGAAGGCAGGTAAAGGAACCAATGCCAGCATTCTCTGCTATGTCTGCGAAGCAGATCTGAGCGGCCCGGCACCCGAAGCCGCTGGAGACAACGACGACAAGGAGAACAGGGACAAGAAGCGGAAACAGAAGCAGGCCAAGGACAATAGTCGCAAGGTCGGCAGGTTGGTCGAAATTAGTTGCGAAGGTACAGGCTTCGCTGGCGGAGGGTCGAATGTGGCGAAGCGGGAAGGTGTAGCATTTCAGTGCTGAGTGCTGATAATGGTCAGCGAAGGGACTCTGTTTCCGACGCATATACTCTTCTGTCTCCCGGAGGCGCGGAGACTATATATTAAGTCTTATCGGCCTTTGTGGCTGATCAAACCACAATCATATGAAGCGAGTAGGTATCTCGGTATGTAAGGCTGCCGGACGCGGATAAACTCAATCTTCCGCCCCGAGGAATGGCGAAGCCTCAGCCTTATTCGCGATGCACATGTGTAACTGCGCTGCAGAAACCTGGACCCTACCGAATTCTACAACCACCACACTTGCCACCACTCCCAATTCTCTCTGTCCCTCTGGCATTTTAGCCTCACAACATCGCCGTACAGCCGAGCAGATACTGAAATGGGTGCTTGTCTGGAAATTGGAGGCCGAACAACAACATCACAAGAGCCCGACTGATCGAGGCCGGGCCGTGCGGGCGACTCCTAATCTCTTCCCTCCCTTCTCTAACCACGGAGACGTCACAGACTACGAACCGTCACCGCCGACAAAATGCAGGGTTTCAATATGGGCCGCTACGTCCCTCCGGACCTGGAGGGCGTGGTTTCGTTCAACACGGCGTCCGGCAAGGGCCACGCGCTGGGCTCGCGCGCCCGCAAGCTCAAGACCGAAGGCATCCTGACCGTCCGCTTCGAATGCCCGTTCGCCATCTGGTGCACGCACTGCCGGCCCGAGCAGCTGATCGGGCAGGGCGTGCGGTTCAACGCGGAGAAGAAGAAGGTGGGCAACTACTTCTCCACCCCCGTATGGAGTTTCCGCTTCAAGCACGCCGCCTGCGGAGGCTGGCTGGAGGTGCGGACGGATCCCAAGAACGCCGAGTACGTGGTCGTCGAGGGCGGGCGGAGGAGGGACATGGGCGCCGACAAGGTCCTCGACGGCGAGATACTCATCGCCGGCGGTGCTGTGAGCGAGGAGGACAAAGCGCGGCTGGAGCGCGACGGCGCGTTCGGCACGCTGGAGAAAAAGATCCAAGACAAGACCCTGTTCGATTCGCAGAAGGAGAGGCTCGAGAGCCTCTTGAAGGCCAGCGACCGCGACTGGGCCGACCCGTACGAGCGGAGTCGGCGCCTCCGCGCCGAGTTTCGCGTGGGCCGGCGGAAAAGACAGGCCGACGAGAGATCCGGAGAGGCCTTGAAGGACAAGTTTGGACTGGAGTTGGATGTGGTGGGTGAAAGTGCCGAGGATGGCGAGAGGGCCAAGTTTGTCGACTTTGGCGAGCATCGCGACCTGGCTTCGTCGTTCTCGGCGACGACGAGTAATTCCAAGACCAAGCCCATGTTTCACAGTCCTCGCGACACCGGACATCTGACCTCTTCGGCCACTACTACATCCTCCGTCTCATCCCCCCTCTCCTCCTCCCGGCGGTCCCAGTCCAGCACCACAGCGAAGCAGGACCACAGGAAGGAGATCCTCCAGAGCACACTACGCAGCAACACGAGGATGACGTCCGACCCTTTCTTACGAGAGCAAGATGTCTGGCAGCCGAGAGTCAAACGCAAAAGGGCGGATGAAGGGGAAGCAGAAGGGCATCATCGCCATCCAGAAGTTAAAGAGCCGAAGACGACAAAAGTGGAAACAAACAGCACGGCGTTGGTGGTGGGCTATGATTCAGATTCATCGTGATACCCCCTGCCCCTCCATGCACGCAGTACTTTTTCTGGGGGTTTCAATAGGTTATCTCCAGGGTTTTACGTCTGGGGTGTTCATATTCATAAATCATACATTTCACAAGAAAAAAAAGAAGTCGTGTCTCGCATTTCCTTGGTACAGCGCTTGACTTCTACCCTTTGGGCACTTGCTGGGTCGTCTTCGTCTCCGTCTCCTTCAATGCTTGTAGGGGTCGTCTCTGTGCTGCAGCGAAGCCACCACGAGGAGGGGGCGGCGCAGGTGCTCGACCAGCCCACGGGGCCTGCGTGACGCCGTTGACGAAGCCCGCTGGCGCGGCCGAGGGTTTCGAGGCCCAGGGCGCGGCTGTTGACCCCATCGGAGGGCCACCCGGCCTCATTGCACTGGGCGCATTGGTATCCGTTGGGTTTCGGAGAGGTTGGCTCGCAGCGTGTGTCGAGGGTGGTGGTGGCTTAGCCTCGGGATCCTTCTCCCACTTGAACAGGGAGCCGAAGGGAAAATGCTGGACGACGGGGAACTTGGAAAGGACTTCTGCATTGTACATCTTGATCATGCCCTTATTGATCTTGCCCCAGCCGTCCTTGATGCCGGAGATGTCGAAGAGCATGGGGCTGTGCTCCCAGAACGGGCCTCTCTTGACGTCGTAGATGAAGGCGATGGCCGAAAAGTACATGTTTGAGTCCTTCTCCTTCTCGACGAGGTTGAGTTTGGTCACTGCGGACGCATCGGGGGCACTGGGCAGCGAACCTTCAGTAGGGGTGTCGTCGGTTTCGGCGATAGGCGGACACAGTTGGGCAGAACCAAAAATGTACGGGAGGAATGAATTGTCGTCTAGGCCCCAGACCCCGTGAGACCCGGCCGGCTCTAGAGTGTATGTCTTGATGAGCTTCCTGATGAGGACGAGGTACAACTCGAAGACACCGAGGACGATTCCTCGCTCTTCCACACCTGGCTCGCGCTCGGCGAAGAAACTCAGCTTCCACAGGCAAGCCAGGAAGGCAAGAAAGCTGAGCTCGTGGCCCGTTCCGTAGTCCAGCCGCTGAGAACTTCCGAGACTCCCTAAGAGGTATGACGAGAGCTCTTCATGCGCTGGGCCGAGTTCTTCTGGCAGATGCTGGGTCAATAAGTCGCCAACCTCTCCTTCGACGATCTTGTACCACTTGCGGAAGCTGACGTTGCCAAATCGCCTAGGGCCGGTATCGGGAGGAACAGCATCGACTAGATCTATTAGGTGGTCTAACAGAGTGCGCAGTCGAGAGATAGCTTCTGAGAACACGACCTCCTCTGAGTTTAACCGCCAGGTCGAGACTGTGTCCTTTCCTCCCGTCTGAACTTTGCGTGGTAAAACAGATCTGTTGAGTTGAAGCATGAATATCATGATGTCCCGATACGCGAGAGACATTAGGAAGAAGGATACATCAGGACCATCGAATATCTTTTTCACTGGCTTCTCGAATCGATGTTCTTTTACGTCCGCAATCTTCGCGAGCAGGGGAAAGTTCGCCATGACCGCTGTTTGGGGGTTCCTCGCGATCCGCCCAGTCTGGTTATATTTGAGAATGAATGGATATGGGAGTGGCGAGTTGTATGTGAAGTCCAATTATCCTGCAAAACGAGGATAATGAATCCAGTTGTTGGTAGATGGGATGATACAATGTTGGCGATGTCTGTGCTTGGCTTGTCGATAAGGCTGAAGGTCGATTATGTAATCTCAGCCTCGTGGCCACGTCGCCTGCGCAACCGCTGCTTCGCGGGGCGCATCACGTTGAACTTAAACCTCCAAGTTCAGCGCTGGTACCAACGCTTTGAACTCCATATCAGTGGTACCTATGATACTTCCAAACTGTGTCCTCGCTCCTGGGTCGGCTGTCGATGCAGCGCTCCACGCGCAGATCTGCTGCTCGCAATGCGCTCGAGTGGGACGCAGACGACGTGACGGCCATTCTCAACGAAGAGGCAGCCCACTCAATGCAAAGCTCTCCTAGGAAGCAGAAGAGCGAATCTCGTGGCGCGTCCGATGCCTTGACCGCCTCGACAAAGCGCAGCCGAATCGAACAACCTGTCCCGTCTGCCTCTGATGTGGTTATGGCAACGACTGCAAGCCCCTCCCGGCGCAGATCCGGAAGACTACAGGCGCGGAAATCCCTCTCAGCACCTACCTTTCTCAATAGACGCGACCTGTTCGAGATCCCTGACGATGCGGAAACGAACTCTAGGGAAATGGCGCTGCTAGGACCGTTGAAGAAGCTCAGGGCGCTCAATCAACGACCGCAAGACACCGCATCGCCTTTCAAAGGCAAGGGCGTGTTAGAAACCAGGACAAATGCACTGGTAAACTTGGACGATTCTCCTAGAAAGCGGCCTGTAAGGAGGAGGATTGAGAGGATTGGCCGGTCTCTCCATAAACCCCAACGTGCTAGCAAGCTGAAGGAAACGACTGCAATTACTGATCGTGAGCCTTTTGACGGTGAGGATCTTTTCGAAGCCTCTCGAAGAGAAGGGCAAGACCAAGCTCCACCAGAACAAGAGCTAGAACTTTCAGAAGAAGCTCCAACAAATGAGGTGGTCCAAAATCGGCCTTCTAAAGAGTCACACCGGCCCAAAATACAACAGCCTGCACATCAGCCTGTTGAATCTGGGACGGATGCAGGCCTCGAGATTGGACAAAATCAACCGCCCGGCGCTGGACCATTGAACCCACTCGTTGAAATTGCCAAGCAGGCCCTGGCTGAGGCAATACCCGAACCTCATATCCTTGTTGAGGCGATCGAAGAAGGCCGAAGGGACACAACGGACAACGCTGACCAAGGACAAGAATCTGCCAAACCTACAACGCAACAAAGTCGGCGCCCGCGAACTCAAGCTGACCGCGATGCCGCAGAACAGACTGTGGCAGAGGCCGAAGCTAAACGAGAACGGTTGGTTAAAGCGGCATTGTCAGGGATCGAGATAGCAGTGCGAGTTCATGACTGCATGGATGCTTGGACGGAGTCCCTGGTCGCAGCCGCTGAAGTCGTCGAAAGCCGCTCTTGCTCTGAGCCAGAGTCGACCGAAGGCAAAGCATGCGCGCGCGAGTTCACAAAGCTTGCATCTATCTACAAGGCGATCCGTCGTGGACACCCCGGGTCTCCTCAAGGACTGGAACGTGAAAAACGGGAAACGCTGCGCCTGTTGAGGCGACGATGCAAACATATCTGTGACTACCATTATCGACCCGATATGCGTTTCGACCCCAAGCGGAAAAGAATGGTTCGTGACTTATATGAGCACTTGATTCCTACGTCGTTGGACCTGGCCAAGCGGGCCCTCAGGACTTTGTTTCAAAACGATGGGCTCAGCGTAACAGCGTTGAGAGAACTCTGCCAGCTCCTGAATATCACATCCAAGCTGGTGAGAAGCGCCCAGGCTTGGACTCCGAGACCTGTGCTAGAAAATGCGGTCAAAAGCAAGACACATTCCAATATCAAGGTCCACGTGGGAAATATCGTGAAGAACTATCTTCGCGCGGTCGACGAGGATGAACGAGAGAGATTTGTTGACGAGCTTGCATGTCAACAGAAGGAAAACCTGGAAAAACAGCAGGCTGAGGACCGGCGGAGAAGAGAAGCCGCATTGGCAAAACATCGACAATATCACTATTCTTATGTTGGTGTGGCGAGTCCGAATGAGCCAGTTCCTAGCTCACAATGCCAGCTCATTGATATTGACGACATATCTATTGGCGAGGAATATGTCCTGCCAGCGTCTAGCCGCAGACAAGACACCGGCTCTCTCAATGGCACGGCTGTGCGCGTCAGACCGAGGATCAGACGAGAACCTACGGAGGAGATTCCCCCACCAGATGAGACGGAATGGAATGAATGTGAGTTGATCGTGTTGGTCAACGCCTTGCAAGAGTACACCGGCGAGTCAAGATGGGAGGATATCATCGACGCTTACGGTGGGCCGGGAGGTAGTCTGGAGAAATACGACATGGATCAGCTGATGGCGAAGGCCCGATGGGTGAAGCAGACCATGGCGAGACAGTTGGAACATGAGCTGGATGAGTCCTGGGACTGGTTGAGGAGTGTTCCTGGTTGATGTATAAAGACGTGGGCTGTTTGTTTTGCTTCGTTTTAGACAGCATTGGCTGCATGATACCCCTTTGTTTGGTGCGCATGTTAGGGGTGCTGAATGATGGTACCTGGGAACCGGCTCTCTGGTTCCCGAATGTCCTGGTCGAGCCAGCAGCCGTGTCAATTCCACCTCCTTTCAAAGTAGTCTTGATCGTATCGGTCATGGGTGAGACGGCGGCGCGCAGGTGTCTCAAAGCCGAGAACGAGGACGGGAGCAGGCTGAAACCACTAATCTCGGGGAATCAGTGAGGGAGGAGGAACTGGCGAGAGACTCGTCTGTGATAGAGAAGTTAGCCTCGTGATGCTGTCGCTGGTGGTGGGGGCGTGCATCTTCGCCTCTTCGCTTTTGTTCGCTTCTTTCGAGTGGCTCGTCCTTGGAGTCTTAGATTCACGACTTTTCCACGCAGCCAAAAAGAAACGCGTCGCGGTGACTTCGCCCAATCGGTCGCACGCCAGCAGGTCTGGGACTAGGCTGATTGATATTCTCTCCTTCCTCTCCCTTCCCGATCGATTACTGCATCTGGTCCATCTGTCTTCCTCTTGTTCTGCAGTTGCATTTGTGAAAAGCCCTGCCCCAAACCTGCACTGCAGCCATGGACAAAAAGGATGAAACCGCGACGCTCAAGCCAAAGGCGACCAATCCTCCATCGAGGCCCGTGGCCAGGACTCCAGCTTCCAGATTGTCTACCACGGGCAGACCAGCCTCTACCTCTACCTCCTCCGCTACCAGGCCTGCGGTCGGAAGTTCACTGAGCAAGCCGCCGGCCAGACCAACCGCTACCAGTACGACCGCCCGAAAGACCCCCAATACAGCCTCGACTTCGTCAATTGTAACACACAAGAAAAGAGAATCAGAGACGTCGGTGGACGAGAAGCCTTCTGGCGACGAGAAGAGCAAAGATGGCATATCTGCAAGACCAAAGAGGATGTCGTTGGCCGCCTCCACGACTTCTGATCGAGGCTCTACCTCCAGGTCACTTGCTCCCACCCCTGCTCGACGCACATCAACGCAGGCTGCAACTACATCGGCACAGCAGTCCAGCAGCAGTCCAATGGCTGCTAGGAAGGTAGCTGCCACTCCGACCTCGACCCGCACCGCGTTGTCGACTCCGTCTACCACACGAGCAAGACCTCTCACCTCCTCAAGAAGTGTCGGGACCAGTGCTCTTGCTGATAAGAAGCGCCTGAGCACGATTCCCGCCTCTCCCGCAGTCAAGACTGGAATGGAAGAGCCGGAAGATAACAAGGAGAATGCTACGTCGGCTCCTGACAACAACGCCGCAGCCGGAACGGCTCGTCCACCATTGGGGTCGAGGAAATCTACGAGGTCGCTCTTGATAGAGCAGCGGATCAGAGAGTTTGAGCTCGTGAACAGCATGTTGAGAGCAGCTATGACGGCGGATGGCGCCGATGAACAAGAACAGCAGTCAATGGATGACGAGGCTGCAAGCAAAATCGCAAAATTGAAGTCGGACCTTGCCAAGGTTAGGGCGTTTGAACGTACTCACGGCCGAGTTCCAACGGCCGCAGAGTTGGAGGAGGTTCAGTCGGTGATTGAAGAAACGCCCTCTGATTCGGCGGTCGAAGCAGACAAACTTCAGCTGGACGAGCCTGGCGCTCAAATACAGGACGAGAACAGCAGTTCGCAGGTCGCGGCTTTACAGGCCGAGCTAATGGAATTGAAGGCCAAGCTCGAAGACTTCAGCAAGACTGCGGAGGAAGAGAGCGTGCGTGTGCTGGGCGTCACCGACGCGATGCAAAACGAACACGCCGCCAAAATTGAGCAACTCACATCGCTTCACGAGGCTCGGATCTCGGAAATGGAGCGTGCGCATCAAGAAAAGCTGCAAGAGCTTTCTCAGGGGCACGATACCAAAACCGAACAGCTCACTCTGGAACTGGCTCTTGCCCAGAAGGAGATTGATCAGTCCAAGTCGGAGCTGGAAGAACTTCGAAGTGCGGCGGCTGAACAGGCTTCGACGAGGGATAGCAATGCACAACTAGAAAAGGAGATGGAGACCCGAATTGCGACCCTCGAAGCCGAGTATCAAGCGCGGCTTGCCGAAAGCCGGGACAAGCTTGAGGAGGCACGTACAGAGGTTGCGAGCAAACAGAAAGACATCGTTGGCCAACAGGAGGAACTTGCCAAAGTCACCGGAGAAATTTCCCGGCAAAACGATGTTATTCAATCCTTGGAAAGTCAAGTGCTCGAATTCCAACAAGCAAAAGACAACGAAAGCAACGCGCAAGTAGCACTGGTGCGTGAGCTGGAGGACCAGATCAAAACTCTACAGCAAGAAAAGGCTGATACGAATGCCGCAGCTGCATCATCCCTTGCGGCCGCCGAGAAAGCTCATGCAGCGGAAATGGACACCATCAAGCGACAATTGAGCGACGCCCAAGAAGAACTGAAGACAGTACAGGTTGCGCAAGACAGCGAGTTGCAAAACGTGTTGAAGAAGGCTGAAGCTGACCTGGCCGCCATCAACGACGAGCTTGAAAGCAGCAGGGCTTCGCATTCAAGTAGAGTTCAGGATCTCGAATCTGAACTGCAAAAGGCCAGGGAGGATGCGGAGGCGAAAAGAGCAGACCATGAAGGGGCTCTCGCGGCGCTGCAAAGTCAAGTAGACGCCGCCAAAAACGCCGTCGACGAGGTTACCGCAAATCATGAGAAAATCTTGAAGGACCGCGAGTCCCAAGGCGAGTCTGCGCGGGAGGAAATTGCTGCGGTGAAATCTGCTCATGAGAAGGAACTTGAACTCGCTGTGTCCGGATCGCAGGCGAAACACGAGGAAGAAGTTGCGAAACTGGAATCTGATCACGCTGAGCAGATCCAACAACTTGAGCAAAAGCTCCACGAGTCGCAAAAGGAGGCATCAACCCTCAAGCAAACCCACTCATCCCAGATCAAGCAGCTGGAGGACCAGATGAAGACGTCTCTCAAGGATTTGGAATCCATTGAAGCTGGGCATCTGCAGCAACTCGAGCGTGTAAAGTCTGAGGCGTCGGAGTCTCAGCAGAAGGCTGTCGAAGAGGCTGAGAAGATTCACATTGAAAGAGTGAGGAATCTCGAGCAACAACTCAATACTGTGGAGGCCGAATTGGCAGAGGCAAGATCGATTCATTCGGGGCAGATAGCAGAGATGGAGCAGCAGAGAGTTAATGAGCGGGAAGTGGCGCTGAACGCGCTGAAAGAGTCGCACGCCACTGCGGTCAAGGATCTAGAGGACCAGCTCAAGTCCATGCAAGAGTCGATGGAAACCGTCCGAGCCGAGCACGCCAAACAGCTCAGTGAGTTGGAAGAGCAGATCTCCGGCCGTCATGCTGAGACAATCGCCTCTCTCAAAGCGGAGCACACACAGCAACTTCAGGATATGGAGGTCAAAGCGAAATCTCATCACGAGGAGGCGCTGGATGATTTGCGATCGAGCCTCGCTGAAGAGAAGCGCCAATTGGAGTCGCAGACCAGATCTCTCCAACAAGAACTCGAGGGCAACCGATTCCAAACACAGATGGTGAAATCCATTCTGGAAAATACCGAAAAAGAGGCCAAAGAAAAGGAGGAGGAACTCAATGAAGCTCTCGAGAAACTGCAAGCAGACATGTCGACCTCGGTCCTCAAACTTGCACGAATGAGTGAAATTCAGATGCAACATGATCAAGTCTTGGAAACGAAGAAAGCCTTGGAGGCTAAAATCGAGGAGGACATGGAGGCCCTACGCGCAGAACATGAAAAAGCCCTCGGCGAGCTAGAGAAGACGCTACGGGGACAACATGAGCAAGACATTGAGCGGATTCGCGCAGAGCATACCAAGTCCATTGAGTCGAGTCACGCCGCGAATTTGTCTCAGTTGACAGAAGTCCAAGAACGGATGAAGCAAGAACACGACGACCAATTAGACGAGGTCATGAAGACCTTGGAGAGTCAGTGGAAGAGCCAGGTTGACCAACTTGAGGAGCAATGTGCGGCCGCTAGTGCCCGCCTTGCGGAAGCCGAGAAACAACACGAGGAAGCCTTGCGAAAGATCAAGTCGGAGCACGAAGCCGCACTGACGCAACTGCAAGCGGAGCTGCAGGGGGCGCGCAGTGCCGCCGAGTCGAGCCAGTCTTCATCTGCGCAGCTGGACGAACTTCGAACTCAACTTGCAGAAGCACAAGAACAGGCCAGAGACGTCGAGAAGAAGCACCACGAAGCCATGGTTCTAGCACTCGAAGAACGCGAAACGGCTCTAGCAGCCATGAAGCAAGAGCTTCTCAATGCCCAGGAGGCGGCGGCGCAGCGACCTGATCCAGCCCAGCTTGAGGCACTGAACGAGAAGTACCTGGATGCTCAAAAGGAGCTTCATGCGCTGCAAGAGAAGCACGACCTTGCGATCCGCGAGGCCAAGGCGGAATACGACACGCAACTCGAGAAAGTCCTTACTGAGCTGAATGACGCCAAACTGGCGGACAAGGGAAGTTCGGAATCCGAGGACGTCGACACTATCAAAGCGAGCCTCGATGAAGCAAAGAAGATGATCGCGTCCCTTGAAGCCGAGCTGGACGGGGCAATGCTTGAGATCGACACCCAACGCAACCTTGCCGAAAGCGCCCAGAAGGAAGTGCAGCGATTCAAGACTGAGGCCACTGTGCTTCAGAGCCCAAAGTCCGCTGGGAAGTCTGTGAACCCCCTCTCACCTGCCTCTCCCAAACAAGGTCTGGAGTCTAGTCGATGGGCTAGCCCTGCAGACGCAGCTTCTACAGACGCGGCAGCGAGCGCCATGGCTAACGAAACAACACCTCTAGCAGGGCACGAAGAAGTATCAGCACTACCATCAACATCAAACGAGAAAAGCCGTAATGTTGCAGGCCAACTGGCCGGCATTCAGGAGCAAATCAAGCAATTGGACGACCTGAGCGAGGACTTTCTCGAGGAGCATCAGAAGATGGCGGGGATTTTGAGCCGCGTTGACGACGAGACCCAGAGCGCGACGGCGACGACAGATGTTGAAAAGGACGACGACGAGGATTTAGATTAGTGGGTTTCACCGGGCGGAGTCGGGATGTGCAGGAATAATCGAGGACATGTATGGGATGTCTTTTGAGGCGGTCAGCCTGTTGTCAGTCTCACGCGGGCCGGGAACGAGGTATTTGGCGAAGAAGAAGAAGAGAAGGGTGTTTCGATTTGGTTTGGGATGACGAGTTATCAGCGAGCCCTTTGTTCTTGTCCCTATCATGTGGCGTGGTGTTTGTTGTCGATGGGATTTTCTTCCATGTTGTTGAGCGACTCTGCCAGCTCAGCCAGCCTCTCCCCCCTAATGTGTTGTGTTGTGATTCCTTGTGTGTGTCTGTTTTACTTGATTTGATTATATTCATGATTTCCCATTCATTGACTCGTTCAATCATTCATTCCGCCTGTGTCTTGCTTTCTTTCTTCTCCCTTTCTTTCCAGCAAGCGAGTGAGCGAGCAAGCGCGTCAAATAGCCAGATAGTCCTCAAGACGAGGTTACTCTGTACGCAGTGCGAGGTACCTCAGTACTCTGTGCCAAGTACTCGGTACTCCCTACTCGGTAACCAAACAAACCGAGGTCCCACTTCCCATTTACCTAGCTAGGCTGCTAGGCTGCTAGGTAAATCGGCAGGTAGGTAAAAACGCAAGCAATAATTAATCGCAAGGAAGACGCCGTGCAGGGCGTGCGTGCGTGCTGTGCAGTGCAATGCATGTCTCGAATATACATAGAACCGAGCACCGAGTACGAGGGACAAGGTACAAGAAGTAAGTAAGTAACAAAGTAATACCGCGTACCCATTGCCTAGATAGGAACATGCATACATAATATTATTAGCTCGATAGGTACCCAGATAGGAAGCAAAGACCCGAATAGGCAGTAAACTTGTGCTGTCGCTCGGTCGGTCGGTCGGTCTGTAATATGTATGTGCGGACTCCGTTCTGCGTGTATGTATGTACCGGATACGAGGTATGTATGTACATTTGTACATATGTAATATAATATTATTGTAGTCATGTACGATTCGGGAGGTACTCTTGGTACTCTAGTTATTACCCTGGCAAGTGGTAATGTTACCTAGTTGGGTAAATGGAGCGAGAAGAACGAGTTCCTTCCCCTGCCTACCTCCCTCCCCGTTAGTTATACCCTCCTCTACCTCGTAGAGGAAACACGGTCCATGCATCATGGACTTGCAGGTACGAGTACGCGGACTCACTTACCCGTCTCGTCATCGTCTACCGAGTACGAGTAATCACAAGAAACCCATCTAATCCAACTCGCCCAAACTACTGAGCAGCCACTCGGGTTCGGCGTCGTCTTCTTCAGGGTCGTGGGAGAGCAGAGAACCCGCCACAGAGGCAGTAGCAGAACCAGAACCAGAACCAGAGCGCGAACTTTGGCCTCTCGCTTGCTCTTCTTCTCCTCCTCCTTCTCCCCCTTGGTCTTCACCTGCGGTCGTCTCCCCGCTCCCAAGGCTCGGATGTGGCGGGTCGAGCGTGGCGTTGATTGACCGTGGCTGACCACACAACGCCACGACATCCGCATCAGGAATTTGCACTGAGCACGTCGAGATTGCTGGATCCTCTCTTCGTCCTCCGCCTTCTCCGGTCGATATGCTCCGGGGCTCGGCACTGCTATCTCCGGCAGCGGCCGCGGTCGCATTTCCCGCACCGGTTTTGTTCAGCTTCTCGGTGCTTGACGCGTAGTGTGTCTCAAATAGCATCTCAGCGGTTTCCGCTGCCTGGATCGGGTCGCCATGACCCGTTACAGACCGCCTATGGGATTCGGTGTCTGCCTCCTCGTCTTCGGCTAGGAAGCCACCTCCTTCATTGTCCTCTTCGGCAATGAAACCACCAGCTTCATCGTTGGGGAGTTTACCATCTGGGGAAACCGCACGTTCGTGCCTTTGGTTTGCTGGACGGTGCAGGCTCGTACCATTCTCGGAGATGAAGCCACCGCCCGCGTCGTCCGCATCAAGGAGCATCCCGCCACTGTTGGTCGCATTTGGTGATTCCCCTACGATACGGTCATGGGACCTTGTCCGAACAGGGGAAGGCAGTCGGCTGAACTTGTTCGGAGACATAACAACAATCACATCTTGATGCACGACTTTCGGGGGAAGAAGCTGGTTGAGTGGTTTCAGGTTTGGCGCCGTTGAAGGAACAGTGTCAACAGATGCTTCGCGTTCATCCAGGTCTGCTTGATCCATCATGAATCCGCCACCATCTTCCTCTTCTCGAGAGACGGTGACTTTTGCTGCACCACCACCAGCGTCGTCCTTTGTGCCATGACCGCGGTCTCCGTATTGCCGATGTACATGCTCATGCACGCGCAAAGCAGTGAGCCATCTTTTCCACATCGCCAAAATAATTCTAGTTCTCGCTTCCTGCACCTCCTCGGTCGCTTGGGACTCTAAGCCCTCAATCACGTTGATCATGGCGTTGGTCATATTCATGCTTACCACCACACCATCGACAACGGCCGTGCCCTGTCGACCTTTGAAGTGAAATCCCGTCACTGCATCTGCATAGTCAATGCCGAGAACGCGAGCCGCTGCTGATGCGAGCGGATGGCGAATGTGGACTGCACCAGCCGGTATCATTGACGGAACGTAGACATCCAGGTTGCCGTAGGCATTGCGAGGAATCTTCTCATCGACAACGGGGGGTGGCTCGTAGAGGCTGGTCTGATATTCAGCATAGAGAGCCATTCCTTGAAGGCCCTCGTCTTCATCCTCCATGTGTTCGGTACTTGGGCCGTCCTGATTCCGCTGTCTCTTAGGGACTACGCGTTTCAGCGGCTGCTCTCCTTGTTTGACATCACGGCCACGCCGGTACCACGCATCCGCAGTCCGACAAACGTGTACGTTTCGTCTGCGGAACACACTCTCAAGCTTTGCACTCTTCGAGGGTCCAGCACTCACTTTACCGACCTCATGTCGAGGATGTATGACCTCGTTCAGTCGCAAGTGCCGTTCCAGAACATACACCGGGTGTCCTCTAAAATCCTGCATGTTTTTCGGCATGGGCTCACTTTCGGCGCGCTTGAGCAGACTCGCATCCTCGATCTCATCTCGTGTCTCACTAAAGGGTTTCTGGAAGACGTTCATTGTCACCTCCCACCATTTCTCGCCACCCTTTGTACTTTCGACCCGTTGCTTTCGTGTCTTTGCGTTGTACCACTGAGTGTAGCGCCTCGTGACGTCTCGAGCAGATTCGTCGTCTTCAAATGCAACAACGTAAGTCATACTATTGAGTTGGTCCGATGCAGGAGGTTCAAACCCGGTCTTCGGCTTGTTGATTGTGTTGCGGACGAGAGGATCCAGCGGGATCCACGTCTGTACAGAAGGAGAGAAGACTTCGACCCAGAAGATGGGAAACGGAGATTCAACAATTTTCCTCTTCTTGGGATTTGGCGTCCGTGCGACTCTGGTGGTGACGTCCGTGTCTTTCGCGGCTGAACCAAAAGTCTGGGGAGGCGCATAGATGTATTGAGGTTTGGGCTTTTCTGGAGTTTGCCCTTTGGCAATTGCAGAGAACGGCAAGACCTGAAGTGAACATACCAATCGGACATCTACTGCGACTGAGCGTAGTAGTGCGCAGAATAATTGGGCTCCCAGATCTCTCGAACCAGAGCGAGAGACCGCTGCGGCCTTGAAGTCGTCAAAGTCAATCAAGTCCTCCGCATCGTCACTCTCCTTGACAACGTCGATGTCATCTCTCCAGAAAGCCCGTTTCATGCCTCGCGCGGTAATGTTCCATTGCTGTCTCCAGATGGCACAGACCTCCTCAATACCCTTGTTGAACGAATGCGATCTCTGGTACTGAGGCTTGGACTCGTCGACGTGAAGTAACGAGATCACTTTGCGAGGTACGAGAGGCTTCAAGATGGAATGCACCGACTCACTGTTGCACCATCTGTTACGGCAGTTGAGGTGCGCCAGCAATAACACAAGGTGTGCCTTGTGTGCATCCAACCGAAACCTGCGCTCTGCCAGACCGACAGGCTTGCGTCGTTGTATAGAACGCCTCGGCGTACTGTTCTTGGATAAGTCGAGCTCAAGAGTCTTCTGTTCGAGTTGCTGATCGTCAACAACATCATTCACGGCTGCCTCGAGATCCACATCTTCGAACTCAGCATCGGATTCGTCCGAAACCTCGAAATCATCGAAGACGACCTGTTGAAGCTTCGGCGGCGCGTCGTTGGCAGGCCCCGTATTGTCAATGACCTGGGCATCTGTCGACGAGCCAAATAGATCAAAGTCGAGTGAGATTTCAGCCGCCGGGTCCTCGCTTATCTTCCGCCGCTTGGTGGGCCGCGGGTCAGAGGCAGACGCCTGTTCCTCGGCGACAGCTTCGGCGAGCATGTCGCCATAGACTTCTGGGATATCATCTTCGGTTTTTTGGAGTTGACGAGCAGACTGACGCGTAGCCCTTGTCGATCTTGCGGCCGGCCGACTCGTCCTGCGTGGCATTGCGTCCGAGCATGTGGCGACCGTGACTCATTGTAAGCAGAGAGCTTTTCCTGTGCGAGTGTGTCTGATGCGGCCGAACAAATACTGTTATCCAAGAGGCGAGTCAGTCAAGGGATAGGTCAGGGACATGGACTCGATGTCATTAATAATGTCGAGGAAGCCAACAACTTGCGTTTGTAAAGGATCGACGTAGCTGCCTGATGTCGTCAAACGACAGCCACGTGATCACACACCCGGTTCCGTTGCACCGATGAAAACAATTCTGCCTCTTGGAGATTTGAATACCAGATGAAATAGTAGGCGTTGTCTCGAACAAAAAAAAAGGTAGAAAAATTCCAATCCAAAAAAATCTTACAGATAGGGCTGAACTGGGAATTGAACTGAAGTAGAGAGTTAGTTACCCATCAGTATTGATTGTTGAGAGTGCAGTGCCAACATACCCCAGGACCTCTTACAATCAAGACGTTAATGCTCCCAAAGCAAGAATTCTACCTCTGAACTATTCAGCCGAATTTTAGCTTAATTTTGGGAAGTGCAACAAATGAACAACATTTAAATTCTGGTATCATCCGGGGAATGGGTGGCTGTTGTACTGAGGCTCCTAAGGATTCAAGCCCCCTATCAGCGCGTGGCGTTGGGCCTGCGGGGAATCCTTGCGGCGAAATTCTCCAACAAAAATTATTTCGATTGCAGAAAAAGACCCAGTGACACCGCGACGTTCGTCACCTTGTAGAGCACCGTGATAAAATGCCGAGTCTTCGGGAGCAATTCGCAGATCTGGAGCGGAAGAAAGTAAAAGGTCAGTCGTTGAAGTCATGGAATTTGCTGGTTTTCCTTCTTCGTGCACTAACACCTGCCAGATTATGACCCGGAAGACGATGCATACGACTTGCGCCCGAGCGACGACGAAGACTCCGGAAACGAACCAGACCTACAAGAAGACTTCAGCCGGGCGCATTATGAAACCGTGGGAAAGAGCACACTGAGGCAGCCAGAGCAGCCATCGCTGGACGCAAAATATGGAGGAGTGGCTGTAAGTCGCAGCGCACTTGAAAATGAGGAGGACGATGACCCCTTTGCGCCCGTCGACGAAGAACAGGACGAAGATCCCTTTGCTTCCCGGCATGGGGAGATGTCTGGTTCTGAAGGGATCTCGGAAGGGTCAGGAGTGGATCAAGATGAAGATTCCGAGAAGGATGAACCCCTCGGCGCAGACGATGCAAAACGGTTCAAGGATCTTGGTCTTCAGGAGCGCGAGGCGAGGACACAGAAGGATATCAATGGAACGGGGGAAGACTCGCTAGATGAGACGGAGGAGTATGAATCAGAGGAGCACTCTTTGGACGACTCTGACATTGGCATGAACGACGACGACGACGATGGCGCTTCCTCGTCTTCCTCGATATCGTCAGCCGCCTCACCACCTCCAACACGAGCCGGAAAATCCACTCGAAGCGCGGAGCGCGAAGAATTGAGGAAAGCCGCATTCGGCTCTGCATCGACAGCAGCGCTGGCGTCGGCATTGTCAGCTGGCGCCGCTGCCGACGTCAAAAAAGGTCAAGCAGTCAAGCAACAGCGGCAAACCTTTGATCGCCTCCTCGATGCCAGGATCAAGCTGCAGAAAGGCATCGCGGCCATGAACGACCTGCCTTCACCCCTGGCCGACGAAGAGGAGGTGAAGACGGCAGCGAAACAAGCTGAAGATGCCGCGTTGGCGCTGTGGTCAACCGTCGACTCCATCCGCATAGCCATCCTGTCCGCCCGAGAAGGGCCCTTGTCGTCTTCTGATGACAGGCCCGAAAAGAAGACTCTGAAGCGAAAACGTCCGCTCAACCCGACAAGAACAACTCCGCTCCCGGAGCTCTGGGAGCATTACACCCTCCTCGAAGCGGACGCCCACGCTCACCGCCGCAGCGTGATCGACAAATGGCACGCCAAAACCCAGCCGGTGGTCGATCCCGCGCCGCGGTCGAAACTGCTCAGGGCCTCCCACCAGTCGACCACGACCTCGCGCCTCACAGACGTGCTCGACACCTATCTCGCGACCGAGTCCTCCAAACTCGTCGCCCAGTCCTTCTCGCCCGCGACCCAGACGTACGATGACGGGCCATTCTACCAATCCCTGCTGCGTGACCTCATCGCTTCGCGCTCCGGCGCCATCCTCACCGACGGCCCCGCCGGCATGTCGGTGCTGCCGACCAAGCTCCACGTGTCGGGCAGCAAGCACAAGAGGGTCGACACCAAGGCCAGCAAAGGCCGCAAGGTCCGGTACACGGTGCACGAGAAGCTGGAGAACTTCATGGCGCCCGAGGATCGCTCGACGTGGACCGAGCCGGCCCGTGACGAGTTCTTCGGCAGTCTATTGGGCAAAGTTGGGGCACTGGACGAGCGGGAAAGAGACAGTGTTAAAGACGACAACACGGGTGGAGTGGATGGGCTGCGTGTAGACGATGAGGATACGGGAGAGGTCGAAGCGTTAAGACTCTTCAGGAGTTAGGACTTTTTCCTCTTTTTAAAGCGAGCGAGATATTTCTAAGTGGTATTTCACTCGGTCATTCACCTGCAAAAACTCCTTCTTGCCTAATTTGACCTTTTCATCAGTGCCTTGTAGCTCATGCTGCGCAAGGTAACTCGATCCATTCACAAACTGCCAGAAACAGTGCCATTGCACACGACAGACCCATGCCACAATTTCCCAGATGGCAAAAGACAACAGAAGATGTACAAAGAATGCGATGCATGCTTTACCATGGGCTTACCATGGGATGACCCGGTGCGCAGAAACACAAATTCATGCTACCGAGAAATCGGGACAGCTCCTGAACCAGCAAAGGGACGAAAAAGCTCAAACAGTCAACGTCAACACCAATTTCCCGCCGAGTTATAACGAACTGCAGTCTATTTCCTTCTCGTATAACCTGGGACCTGGAACGGCGTGGGAACAAACCATTTCGGGAATATCCCAGACTCGCGCTGTCGATGAATATACGCGGCCGTGACGTGTCCATTCTGCGTAAAATTCGATTGCGTGTCGTTGTCGAATCCAGGGATAGGTGAATACTGTTTCTGCAACGGTGCTAGCCGTTCTGGAGAGGATGGTAGGGAGGGTTCGGGCGAGTGCGCGGCTGTTGATTCGGGTCCAGATTGAGTTTCTCCGGGTTGTGAGCATTGCAGAGACTCCTCACATTTGAAAACGTGACTGTCTTTGACCAGTGTCGGAGTTCCCGATCTAACTTTGTGCGCCATGAGTTGCTCGGTATGCTGTTGAAGAAGAGCAGCAGGTGCTCGAGATGGCTGAACTGGCAGTGAAGGTGGATCTAGGTCAAGATCAAAATCATCTTCAGAACTAAATTCTTGAGCCGTGTTGATGTTGCCATTCAGTTGAGATTCCTCCGGCCCAACATGCTGGGGAATCTGACTGAGCGGAATGCTCGAAGAACTGGAGTCTTTGATCGAAATCTTGTCAGGTTCGCCTTCGAGCAACCCTTCCTGAGGCAATTGTGGAAGCGATGATTGTGGGAGAAATCCTTGCGTGATATCTTGGGTCGATATTTGTGACGGGTGAGGAATTGACGCGGGATAAACAGATCTTTGCGTGACGTGTCTTCCAAATGAAAGGGTAGGTGAAGAGGTATGGAAGTTGTCGCTCCGTGGCGCCTGTGCCATCTTCCGATGTGTGCTTGCTGGATGTACAAACACGGGTTTTGGCAAAGGTACCTCTTCTGCTTCCTCGTCGTGTACCTCAGATGCCTCGCCTTCTGCATCTGCGCTGCATCCTCCTAGCAGAGTAGGAATCAATAGTGGCGAATCCGAAGGGTGCACTTGATCAATGTCTGGGCCACCAGAGTGTGGAGCTTCACCCTCTTTACCGGCACCTTTACAACCATTCGGCGGCTGAGCGGAGGATAGAACAGCATTGGATCCGGCGTCTGACTGCTCAGGAAATTGCTCTGGTTGGATAGGGGATGACACCCGATGCAGGATCTGGATATTGAACTGCGTATCGTTTGCAATTGGCGAGCCGAAATCTGCAGCGTCGCAAATTTCCTCCAAGGATTCACGCGCGTGCTCATTCGGATCCTGTGTCTCTGCGAGAACGGGCGGCGAAGATCTGATGAAGCAGTCAAGACCTGGAGCAGTGGACTTGGTTGGCGGAGAATGAGCGTCAGCCAAGTCTCGAACAATCACACTTGGGTTTTCTTCTTGTAGAGAGTCCACGGCAATGTCTTCCCTTGAGCCACCGCTCCTGCTCGCAAAAAGCTGACTCAAGTTTGGCAGATTGTCCTCACTCCCGGAAACCAAAGTAGTCAATCCACTTTCCTGCAGTTGGCTTGTGGGAGGAATTTCAAAATCCTCGGTCGCTTTGTTGGAAGTCGTGGGTGCTTGGACAGTGGTAGCAGGTCTTGTAAACTCTGGCGAGGATGACGGAATTGACCACAAATTGACTTGAGAATCCTCAATACGTGCGGGACGTCGAGGCTGGTCGCGCTTTGGAAGCTTCAGGACGATCACCTTGCTCTTCGGCGAACCACGCCTCGGAGTCCGCGACCTTTTCATTTCCTTCCTAGTTGGAGAGGCTTCCGCAGGTATATTGACCGATCGTTCAGCTAATGGTGCTCGGCGAAGTGTGGAAAGGGTTTCGGGGGTCTTTCGGTTGCTCTTGTGTGTACTCTCACATAGGCTTTCCGGGGACTGGCTTGAGAGAACGACGTTCGTCTTCCGCTTTGGCGTTTCGGGCAGGGCAGAGTCCTCCTTTCCCAAAACCGTATCGGATCTAATCTCCACCTCATCTGTTGAGTCCTCAATCTCCAAAGGGCGGTCCAAGGATTCATCCGCGGCGTGGTATTTTCTGTCTTCTATCTGATCGGTCAATGCCTGCGCAAAATAGTCGAAGTTCTTCGCCGGATCTGAGAGAACTTCATCCTTTACTGCCAGTCGCTTAGATGACCTTCGAGTTGCCTCTGCGCTCCCATTATCTGCGAATCCCACCTTTTTCTTTTTCTTCCTGGGTCTATACTCTGCCTGGCTATCTTGGTTGGAGGGCTCGGTCTTCTGGCCTGGCAGACTGGTGGCCTTCGGAGTCGCTTTGCGTTTTCGAGGCCTCCTCGGGCTGTCGTATGTTCCATCCAGTTGTGGCACAACGCAATTGTCACGTTCCCATTTTGAATCATCGATCATAGTGTCATCAATTTCTTGATAGTCTCGAGGTGTCGAACCGAAGAAATCCATCTGCGTCAACGTAGAATCAGGCTTTTGTGCTCTCGGACGGGGCCGTTTTGGTGCCGGTGCCGGCTTTTTCACGTCATCTAGATACTGCATGTCGCAGTCGTCGAAGCTCGGAGAGAAGGTGGAGATCCATTCGACTTGGGTCAGAGTCCGTTGGTTCTTCGAGGGTCGAGCGCTAGAGGTGGTTTCCGTACCATTTGGTCGTTGTCGCTTCCTCGCCGCTGTAGGTGCAGGCGTGGTCTTTCGTTTAGTGCTCGTGATCGACCGAACAGCCCCGGACATGACACATACATGCTATACTTTCACAAAAGGGAGGCTGGCAGGAGCAAGTCAAGGGTTATTGTGTGAAAGGTGGCCTGGCGTATATTCGTCTCGGCGGGGCGCACTCCATCGCGAAAATATAGGCTACGTGACGTGACGCGACGCGTTCGCGTCACGGGTACACGTGATACGTATCATCAAAAGTCCTCGACACATTCAAGGCATGGATTCATGTTTGGACCAAAATGTGACGGCTGGGGAAGGGGCAAACAACCCAGCTGAGAAATGGTATGTGCGGTGTTACTGATTGCGTGCCACTTATGACGCGGTTTTCGCAAAGGACACCTCGATAAAGCAGCTGGGTGCGGGGAATAGCAATCGCAGTCTGGGGTCTGACTAGATCCAGAAGCGCCATCACCATCATGAATCATGACCCAGCCGTTCTGCTTCACAAACTTCAAGGGCTAGCAGCAATCTATCTCGAATGCTCAAGCAGAAAAGGTAACGAGTGACAAGATACCGAATGTAGAAATCCAGACCCTGGCAGACTTGGCGACAAGGTTGGGGCTAACAGAGACTAAAATGTCGCTATTGCCCCATCCGGAAAGCCACACAAGCTATTAGCGTCCTCGTAGGTTCCTCGAATGCTTCATGTTCTCTTTGGACCACTAAGCTGTGAGTGATACTCGTGCAAGGCGCACCCCAATACTCATCTAGACTTGGGCAGCTCAACCAGACTACGTACAACTCTTCCTCGCCCTGAGTTTTTTTAACTCAATTCAGCACATATTAAGCCAACATTTCAACACTTCACGGGAGAAACCTTCAACCTGTCAGGCTCTCTGTCAGCCCCGCTACAGTTCCAGGAGTCAGATGGTCTCTCTTCGTACGGTCTTTGTGGAAGAACAATGAAGGACTTGAAGGCACGAGTGAAGCATTGTCCAAGACTTTATGCAACTAGAATGTCTCCTTGAACGCCGCAGAGAAGGCTAACAAAGACTCATTGATGGATGACAGGATGTAGGTCTTTTCCCCATTGATATTGGCTTTGTATTCCTGAACCTCATGCTGCCTCAATGAGGCATTGTCTGAGGCTGCTCCCTCGAAAGGCATTGACCCATTGTGTACCACCCCGTCTCTTACCATGGGGACTCGATTCTGGGGGCCCATAAATATCTCGAAGTATTCCACGATCCAGTGCTTCTCCTCATACCAAAAGCTCCGCAACAAAATCAACACCTTCATCTTTGAGGCAAGAAAAGAAATTCTCAAAGACTCCAGCTCTACTCAATCCCACCGCTCTTCTCAACTTCCAAAAGGCCAAGACCTATCAACACTCTCACCAACTATTCCGAAAACCCATCAAATTCCAATTACCCCTTGACAATGCCTTCTGATTCGAAATCCGGCGGCGGGTCGTCTTCGGGCAAGAACCATGGTTCTGGCTCTGGCTCTGGCTCTGGCTCGTCCGACATACGCTCTGATTTTAACTGGTCCTCCGAAGACTTTGACCGCTTGGCCACCGCTGTGACTGCGGTGGTCAAGGCAGAGTACGGGCTTTATGGTGGCACGTTTCGTGACGCCAACGGAAAGTGTGGAAGACGCGGCGCAGTTTCCGAGGCGGACAGCCCCTACCACTATTCCAGCAAATAAGTTCCCCTGAGGTCCCTTTCCCCAATTTGAGGAGATACATTATCATCTCAAGTGAATCTTGTAAAAGAGGTAAGCAATGAGACGGCCCGGCTAGAAAGCTAACCAAACAGACGTGAGGTGGCAGTGGCAGGCTACTACTGACCTCGACGACAATAAAGACGTTTGGCGAAAAGCAGCCAAGCCGACAAGGTAAGTGAGGCTCGGGGGTGTGGGGAGGTTTTTTTTTTTAGAGGTTTTTCCTCAATGATTGTTTCCAAAGGTCTGACAGTATGAAGGCTTTTGTCGTAGTGGTAGGCAATATACAATTGATCGTTTTCCTCTAGACTATTTCTTTTCTTTTCTTTTTTCCGATTCCGTAATCTTATTCGAAAAGAATCGCCTCACACGTGAGTCTTGTGCGTCTTGAGGGTGATTAAGTATACGATATTGAGTACTATCCAGCACCTGACGATTATCAGAACCGATGAGAAATCATTCAGATAACAAGCACCGACCAATTTACCTCGTGCAATGCAGACGACAAAAAGCAAAAAGACTAGACCAACAAAACTCCATGGCAATGCGAGAAAAAGGGATGGGTCGGGCGAATCCCGAGCCGCTTAGTTTGTCCTGCCTTAGCAGCCAGCAACCATGTTGGCGTCAATGGGACCCTTGCAGTCGACGCCGAGGGGAAACTCGCCAGCCCCGTTCCACCAGATCTGGTAGGTGTTGAGGGCTTGGAGTTCCGGGTTCTGGCAGGCCCAGAACTTGTTCTCGCCGTTCCACAGCAGCGAACCCGCCTGGCCGAAGGAGAAGCCCGTGGAGGCGGCGTCGGCGGGGACGCTGCCGCCCGTGTGAGGGACGGTGAACTGCAACGGCGCCGTCTTGTCCGGCTGGATGTAGCCGTTCTGCCAGCCCGTGGGGCTCGAGTGGATCGAGTCGAAGACCAAGGTGCCCTGCGTGTCGCCGCCGACGTGCGCCCCGGCCATGACCAGCGGCTCCGAGTACGTCTGGTACCGGATCTGGCCAAAGTACGCCGAGTTGTTGGCGTACGAGAAACCAAAGTACTGGACCTCGTTGCTGTCGAAGAGGTCTACGTTGCCGACAACCAGGCCAAACGTGACGTCGACGGCGTCTTGTCGCTTTTCGGCCTTGAGGGGAACGGCACTGGCGGTGGAGAGGAGGGCCAACGAGGCCGCGGCCGTGGAGAGGAAGAGCATGGTTGGGTTGAGTGAGACAGAGAATTCGTGTGATGTGAACTGATTCAAGACTTGTCGGTGTTGCGACTTGGTATGCTTTATGATCAATCTCTGCTCTTGATGACCGTGATGGTGTTGGAAGTGACCGAATGCAGTGAACCAGACGGATACGACCCTTTATATGTTCAAGAGGGAAAGGTTGACCGATTGACCTCAGTACTATTGACGAACTAAAACAAGAGGCTGGGACTGACCTATGCTTAGGTAGGTGGTCACATGTTTTCACGTTATGAGGCTCAATCCACAGACTTACAGTCACATTTTTCCAAACTTTCCGTGGTGTTCCTTGTGGTATACTTAGAAACAGCCCAGACCTATGACGATGGTGGTGGTGACAAGACGAGCCATTTTTCCCCAGATGTAACCCCCTGCAAGAACAGGTGAAGAGGGTCATGCGAGCTGCAAGGCTGTGCAAGTTCTCCACAAATACAGCAAAAATTCTTTCGCTTGGCTTGTCTCAGATCCTTTGCTCGCATGGGAACTCCCGTTGAACTCTCTGTGGGACCAGGCTCGAGATTCCGGATTAGGCTTAGTGCATCATCAGCCTCTCCCCAACTAGATGAAAGCTTAACCTCAAGTCCAAAAATCTAGATGGTGTAGGCCATATGACCATCGACCAGATATTGCATGGACGCATCGATCAGAAGCAATATGGCCGTGGTCCCAGTGTTTGCCGATTGGCTGCATAACGACATTTTACTGCAAGGCTTTCGAGCCTTCGAGGCTCCATCCTGGGTACAGTTGGAAGCTGTACTGGCTATGATAATTTGCCTACGCAATATTAACATGGACTATTATTCGGTTTCGAGCCTCTGTCGCAGGGAAGAACTATCCCACCGGTATTAACCAGAAGTGCAGCAACATGGGGAATGGAGGCACGTTTGCAAACTATGATTTATTCTGGCGTGTGCCTTTTGGTCACCACCTATGCTATCTCTGACGCTATCACTGTCTCTGTCTTGAGTTGCTGTCTTGATTTAGGCCAGACATTTGAGACCTAGCATGAACAAAATTGAAAAGAAAAGAAAATACAATAGACGGCGGTCCTTTATTCAGGTCCACCGAATGGGATGCCTGCGTCACAAGCTGAACTCAAGGGTTGCTTGGTTTTTTGGGGGGTGTGGTGTTTGTGCTGGTATCATTATCATTATCATTGGTCGTAATCACTGTCGCTTTCATTCTTGGTTTGGTCTAGTGCCTCCAAACCTGGCTGTCGGGTATCTGATGCGGGTCTCGTGTGACTTGTCCTCGCCGAAAGCGCCCAAGGCAGGCAGGAAAGAAAAACGTTTCTCAAGGTATGTCGTACATTTGGGAAGAGCATGCCGGCCTCGGCGAGGCCAGCTTCGGATTTGAATGGGGGATCGATCGCGTTGCGGCATGCAGCAACGGGCGCATACAGCGAGCTGAAGGTGATACTCATTTCGTGTTGGCTCGTTGATGTCCATCCTCGCCATCGGCAGCTTTCACCAATGTCTGTTGCTCTTCCGCCGTCTCCAAAATCCCGCACAGCTCGTCAACCGAGAAGTCAACGGTCGCGTTGTGCAGTGAGAGCGGCACATGCTCAAGAGGCACTATGTCGGACACTGATATTCTCAAGGGAGGACCCGAGACGCGCACACCATTTTCCGATCGAAGTTCCTGTGGAGGCCGTCGGAGTAAGCAATCGTCCGAAACCGGGTTGGATGTACTAACCTGAGAGTATTCAATGAGACCACTGTTGGTATCACTATGATCTTCATTGCCGCATCTCCAAGTGTGTAGAGTCACTCTCTTTGTTCGAAAGGAGTCGCAATCGATGCCAACCACCATCTGAGTCAGTCGCTTAGCTTCCAATAGATAGAACTCGGCCAGTTCCGGTAGCCTATTGCGATGTTGTGAGCAGGCGAACTCCAGAAAGAGACCATAGGTTGGTGCAGCCCGGTATGTGATGTAGTTATCAGGTTGATGTTTGTCGACGGTCGTCCTCCCAACCACATCGGCACTCCCATGAGCTATGACTCGAAGCCTCCCACCTCCTCGGGGACAAACGCGCCACGAATGGCATCAGCCACGGGATGGTTGATCATCCGCAGTCACTGCGGCACTTGGGTACATGAGACACTAACCACCACCACTACTCTATTCGTGCTGACCAAATGTTTACAGTCTGCTCTCGCGTCCCTTTGCTTGATCATTCTCTTCACCCTGGAGCTCAAAGCACCATTTGACGCCCAGCATATTCGTCCATCCATCCCCACAAAGACCCTCGTCGCTCACCACTCGCAACATCTTGTCGAGCCTCTCCTTGCCCTGGACTGCAATCGTGATGCTCTCCAACCCCTCGGGCGACCCCTCCACTCCCGGCACGAAACTTAGGCGGGCGTTTGTGAAGACCAGCTCACTCCCCCGTCTCTCCACCCCAAAATAGTCCTGCCATTGCTGAGCGGCGGCGTGGACGTCGGTTTGACCGGGCGCTAAGCGGAGAACTGCCCTGACCAGCTTCAGGTGTGCGCGACGCCTCATCCCGACCGAGTACTTTGGGTAGTCCGATCCGCAGGCGTGCCAGGGACTAAAGGGGCTCTCCAGCGGGGTTGAGTTCGTGGCCGATGGGGTATGGGAATCCAATTCCGGCATCATCCCACCTTTTTGCCGCATGCAGTCTGATCAGCGTCTCATCGCACGTCTCAAACAGCGGAAAACTCATCAAGCACACTTACCGGCAATCCCCTTTGGATGATACTGGACACACTCGACATCTCCGTGCGAGTGGTGGAAGATGACTCTGGCCAGGTTCCTCGACTCGATGTATTTCCGCCTCGACGCAGCGTCCAATGTCTGCATGATGATCATGTACCCACCGTCGCCGCGTTTCTCGAGTAGTCTCCCCACCGTCGTATTGGGTTTGAACGGAGAGCACACTTCAATCATGTCACCTCCAATGGCCACTGAGAGTTTACGAGACTAACATTAGCCAGAATCGAAGCGTTTGAGAAAAGGCCCGCACAACGGGAAACCATCTCCCCCAAGAACCGGAGCATTTTTGTACCTAGAAAGTTCTTCAGACCCCATTGAGCCACCTGCGGATCCACGAATACGACTTCCGTGTCCAGAACCCTGGTCTGTTGGTTGTCGTACAAGGTGAGTGAGTGAGCTGGCATTGACATTGACGTCGACGAGAGGGGCGGGGGGAACAGGGCAGACATATGTATGTATGTAACCCAGTCTCACGTACCAACAGATCTCGAGCCCGATCATAGTCTTCTGCGATGAGAGCGATTTGTCTCAGCCTGGTCGGGGCGATAGGCGGGATGCTCTGTTCCTTTGCGTTCGCCATGGTTTTTTTTTTTCCTTCCTTTCCTACTCTCTGTGTTGTGTCACACCCTTTGTGCGAAAGGTGACAGTCTCACGCTCAGCAGCCGGTGCAGTGCGGTGCAGTGCGGTGCAGTGCGGTGCGGTGCGGGGCGGTGCAACGCGACCAGCACACACACACACATATATATAAAACACGGTCCCTTGACGAAATGTCCCAGGCTGTCTTTGAACCCCGCAATCAAGTCACTCTCGGTGGCGCGCCAAGTGGAGGATTGGATAGGTATGTAAGTTGGAGACGAAAGCCCACCCACCAGTACCAGTCAAATGACCAAGTCTGAATGTCATGGAGGGACTTTTGGGGGGTCAAGCGGTCAAGGGATTGGGGGTCTAGGCTGACTGACTGACTGACTGACAGGCAGATGGCTGCGCATGAAAGCATGAACCTCGGTTATCCCGTTACAAAGCTACCAGACAAGCAGGGGTGGGAAACAATAATTAATCCCAGATCAAGGAGGGAGGCAAACAGGTACTGGGGCGTACGAAGTATGTAGTGAGGTGGACATGATTGACGGTGATGAAGAATCTCTTTTTGTCCCGCGTCAACAAAACTACCACTATTTATGTACCACTGCTACAGCGCTACGGATTCCTCGTTAACCCCCCTTCCCCCCCCTTTCAAACTAAGCCTCTCTCCTCTCCTTTACAATTTCGAGCGAGACTTTGATTTCTCTGGGATCCTTGTTGTTAGCGGCCAAAGAACCAACTTGTGAAAAAGACCACTGCACCGTGTCAGAGACTTACCGAGCAACAACCGACTCTTCTCGGCGAACCTCTGCTTCGGGGCGTCCTCGACGAACCTCTCGGCCAGGGCGTCGGCGGCCTCGTGGACGGCGAGCATCCTGTCCCGCCGCAGGGCGAGGTTCTGCAGGCGCTTGGCCTCCATCATGGACTTGCCGTCGTTGACGGCGAGCTGCTCGGCGAGGAACTCGTCGACCTTTTGGTGGAAGCCCTGGGTGGGGAAGACGCGGTTGACCAGCCCCCACTGCTCGAGTTCCTGGGCGGTGACCTTGCGGCCGAGCATGAGGATGTCGTTGGCGCGGCGGGGGCCGATCGAGTGCGCAAACGACGTGGCCGAACCGTACTCGGGCACCAGGGCCAGCGCGCTGAACGGCACCTGGAGGTATGCCGCGTCGGCGGCCAGGACGATGTCGGCCACACCGGGGAACCAGGCGGCGCCTGCGCCGATCGCCGGACCGTTGAGCGCGAGCACGAGGACCTTTTTATGGTCGATCATGGAGCGGAGGAGTTCGACGTCTGTGTTTTAACAGAGATAAAAAAGGTTAGTTTTATATCTTTCTTTCCCCTGTATACAACACCCCTCCCCGTCCTCTTCTTCGGAAAACGTGGGGGAACTTACTGGTGCTGCTTTTGGCCATAAAGTCGATTTTCTTTGCTGCCGGGCTCGGGAATTCGACGTCCGGTTTGTTGGCGTGAGCTGACCAGGGGCGGTTTTGTTATCAGTCTTGGAATGATATACACGAGTAGATACCTAATCAAGGTACATAGGTATACTAGGTAAATAGACATACCTTTGACATCGGCGCCCGAGGAAAAGAACCTGCCCTCGCCCGTGAGGACGGTGAAGACGGTGTCTGGGTGTTCGTTGAGCTCGCGCAGGGCCTGGACGGTGTCGAGGAGGAGGGACCCGCCAAAGGAATTGAGGGCCTTGGGCCGGTTGAGCTGGAGGTCCGCACATCAAGAGATCGAGGTTAGTGAGTGCCGTAGGTGTGTAGGGAGGTAGGTAGGTAGGTAATTCATTCAGGGCACTTCATTGTTTTTATGTTCTTTCTCATTGGGAGCAATGGAATTGAATGGAGTATACGAGTATACTTCTCGGTAGGTTGACAGCAGGGGTTGGTGGTCAGTACATACCTTGATAATCCCAACCTTGCCCTTGATCTCAAAGACAATGTCCGAGTACTTGTATTTGCTTTGGCTGGACATGGTTCTGGCTATGTAAACACAAAGCAACCGAGGAATTGAAATCGGGCTTAGAATTTGGGGAGGTGAGAATAAAACGTGACAAAAGGTTCCGTTGTGTGTGTGTTGGTGTGTGTACCCTAGATTAGGTACGTAGGTAGGATGCCTAGGTCTCTAAGAGAGATATATGTATATGTATGTTGCTCTGGTCCGAAGATCGATGGGGAAGTAGGAGGTAGCTGAGTAGTCGAGTCGCTGAGTAGGGAGCTGGTGGACAGATAGATCGATGGCTGAATAGCCGAAACAGCGTTACCTAGGTAGTAGAGTGAGAAAGAATCAGCACGCAAAACTACGTGTCCAAGTTTATGTAACACGCCATGATGACTACGAGTACCGAGTACAGTATAAGGGCGCTTCTGTTACTTGCTTCCCCCGTGGCATGGTGCCCCGGCAATCAGCCGTTCAGGGTAATCGCCGAATCATCCTCTCTCCTCTTTTCCTCCACATTATCACTAGCCTGGGACTGGAGATTCCAACAGCCTCGGTTGAAGAGACGTGGAGTCAGGAAGGGAAAAGATGATCACGTGAAAATCACGTGCCTTGTCACGTGAAAAGGCTTCCCGAACATTAACTAATCAGCTGTTTTCGGTATACCCAGCCTCGCCAGCCAATCAAGCACGCGGCTGTTTGCCCCTGTATATCTGTATCTACAAGTACGTGTACAAGCTATGCCCGCCGAACCTCTTGTATATTCCCAGTTAATGCTCATCAGAGTATCTTGTACATTGCCCCATAAATTCTCGTCCCGTATTTGGTATATCCAACCAATTCTCACCAGGGTATCTTTTACATTCCCTCATCAATGCTCAGCCTTGTCCTTGCTCTTGTCCTCGTCCTCATCCGCTCTCCCCTTCCCTCGTCGTAGCAGGTAAAGTGCGCCGCCCACCAGGTGTAAGCTGCCCGTCACCAACACCTGCAGACCCTCTCTCTGCATGCCGACTGCGTCTGCATACTCCAGTGCTTCCTCAATAAAAGGCACATAGCTGGACTTTGCGCTGGGATAGATCGACCCCCACAGGTCACAGTATTGTCTCGGAAGATCCGCCACTACCTTGTCCGACACATGCAACGTCTTGTCTGCTTTCGGTCAGTCTCCCAAAACAGGCAGGTCAGCATGTGGCGGCCTACCTGGTCGAATGGTCCCGTCGCGTCGTTCCTGGTACGTAGTAAACACCATCTCAGGACATGGGACACCATTCTGTTTAACCGCACTTGCCAAAGCCCTCAATAATGACGGACCATCTCGTTCTTCTGACATGTGAGAGAAGATGATCATAGACGGCGGAGCATCTTGTCCACCACCGTCGCCGTACGAAGTCCTCGTCATCTCAGCAAACCACTCGACCGCTTGTCCAATGCTCAATTCATTGTGAGCTCCGTCCAGGAACCACGTACATCTGGTAGTCTGGACCACCTCAAATCGGCCCGGCCAGGAGAAGTTCTCGATCCCCTTCCTGACATCCTGCTCGCCGAGCTGCTTCTCTTCAAAGGGGCTCTTTCGGGAGAGAAAGGCGTTGGCGAGGGCGATGGCCAGGGAACAGTTGATGTGTTGCACCTGCGCACGTAGCGCATTCGCATTGAGAGGCAGCGAGGGATTGACTGGGACCATCTCAAGGTGAACGCCCCTTTCAGCGGCCCGAGATTTCAGCACAGCTTCGACCGCGGGTATTTGTGGAGCAGAGAAAGCGGGAGCCCCATGCTTGAAGATGCCCGCCTTGTGCCAGGCCACATCCTCGATCCCGGGCCCCAGCTGCGCCAGATGATCTAGTCCGATCGAGGTGATTCCGGTCACCACGGGCGCCGCAAACACATTGGTGGCATCGTATTCGCCGCCGTGGTGTGTCTCAAAGATGGCCGCTTGGGTCCCTTCGCGCGAAAAGGTGTGGATGGCCAGTAACGCAATCAATTGCAAGTACCGGGGCTGTCTCTCGTCCTCAGCCGCCACTCGGTCCTGCCGTGAGAATAACCGGTCCCAGATCTCGAAAAAGTACTTGGTGAACAGATCCTCGGAGATGGGTTGCCCGTTGATCTGGATCCGCTCGCGAATACATGTGAGATCCGGCGACGTGTAGAGGCCAATCCTGGTAGGGAACCCGGTTCGTTTGCCCCATTCCTGCAGCAAAGATCGTGTGAAAGCACTGGTACTGCCTTTGCCTTTGGTCCCGGCAACGTGGACAATGTTCAGGGCGTCTACGTCGCCGTCCTTCCACCCTTGTCGTCAGAACTAGTATCTGCAGAGCTTTTGAGAACAGAAACTCTCGCAACGTACCGTGTAGCCCATCTTTTGCAGCCAATTCCGCATGCCAGCAATGCTGGGCGTTCCCCGGAGAGACGACTGGACAGCGACATGACGCCCGGGAATCGGGCCGGCTGCATTTTGGGGCCTTGCCTTTCTCCGCCTGGTATCTAGGAGTCGCAATGCATTCTATCCCTATAAGCACGGTTTTCTCGAATGGTTGAGAGAGAGTTGGTCTACCTCATACGTTCTTTTCAAACTCGGCACGGTCCCTTTCTGCATCTTGCGGGTCGAGCACTACCGATCGACAGTTCGGTGGACTCTTCTTCCCGTCACCGATTCATGGCGGAGTAGAAAAGCCGCCTGACAATATGAACATCGAGAAGCAGCCTTCAGGCTTCAGGAGTAGGTAGGATAATACTGTGCATAGAGTTCCACCATGACAGCGAAAGTTGCACTTGTCGCCACGGATGGAGTTATGCCTCACCGTAGAGAACTGCCATGATGCTACTGCGGATCTTTGGTTTCTTTGGCGCCGAGAAAAAGTCTTGGGATCCTCGTACGTACGTCACTTTGCAGTTGCATCTCGCGCCGTACGAGGTATACTCTCCCCCATCCTTCGTCGCCTCATCCTTACTCAGGCTGGGCTTGAAACTACAAGAGACAGCCACCTTCACGAGGTACTCGACAAAATGTCCGAACCCATTCCAGAAGCCATCCCCACCTCTGCCGACCCTCGTTCGCACCGCCCGCTCAAACGCGCTCGTGGCGCCTACACTGCCAACCCCAACGCCCGCGCAATCTCACAGCAGGCCCATGAAGTGGAATCTCTCTTCCTCGACCCTTCGCGCCCCGTCCAGCTCCCGCCCCCGTCGACCGCCGTCCAGAAATCTCGACCCGCGCCTCCCGAAATCGTCGCGAATGTCCAGGGTTCCAGCGCCGGTGCGGGCTCCGGAGAGTTCCACGTCTACAAGGCGAGTCGACGGAGGGAGTACGAGAGACTGCGCGCCATGGACGAAGAGGCCAAAAAGGAGGGGGAGGACGAGAGGTGGGAACGAGAAGAACGGGAAAGGAGGGAGAGAGACGAGGAGAAGACCAGACGGAATCGAGAGCGCCGGAATCGGAAGAAGGGGAAAAAGGACACAGACAAAAAGACAGACAACACTGTTAATGGAACGAAGGAGCCCGTTGAGAATGGGGAGACGCAAGGCGTGAAGAGAAAGGCTGGTGGGTTGCAGATCCCACCAAAAGGGAGTCAGGAAGAGGATCAAGGCTCCGACTTTGGTGTGGCGGAAGTGGTCAAAGAAACTGGCATCACGATCCATGATGATGATTAGGAAACCACCGTCATGCGTCTGATGGATGGGATGAGCCTAGACGGGACGGCTCACTAAAGCTCAGGCACGTCTTCCAAGGTTTGGGTACCGACCACTTGACAGATTCCGAGCAAAGAGCCGAACCACTCTACAACCCCGGCATATCATACAACGGACTCCTGCCTGCAGTGTCCTTCAGATCCGGCAGTACAGCCCCTCCTCAGGCATTCTTTTCCCTCGCCACGATCGCCCGATCGATTCCACTCCACCACCGCACTACCCTTTGCACTGCCCCGGGCATCACATTCAAAAACGGCACACATTTGGCGTAAAAGGGCATGCGGATCACTCCGCCGTCGCCTCTTTCCACCCACCGCACAATCTCCTTGCCTACGTCCTTGGCCTCCAACACGGGCCCAAAAAAGTGTGCGTAAAAGGGCACTCGGGTGATGTCTGCAAATAGCTGCGTGGAGAGCTGACCTGGTTCGACGAGGATGGTCTTCACCTTGTCAAAGACAGCAGGATCGGGGTAAGTGCGGAGTTCGTGACACAAGGTGTTGTGCAGCGCCGAGACGCCGGCTTTCGACGCGTTGTAGTCGGCTAGTTTGGCAGGGTTGAGATGCGAAAGGATCGAGGAGATGGTTATGATGTGAGCCCCCTGGGGCGAGGAGAGTAGATGAGGGAGGACGGCGGACAGGGCGGTGAAGTGGCCGAGGGCATTGGTGGTGATTGTTTTGGTGGCTTGTTGGGGAGATAGCGTCGATGTCGATGACTCCAAGGGCGCTGGAGAAATCAGAGGGAGGCCATTGATGGATGTTGCTGCGTTATTGATCAGGATTGTCGGCCGACCGAGCTGATTGATATCTATCGTGAGCCTACGAGAAGATAGAAGAAGTAGAGAATCGAAAGAACGGTCCAACCTACATCGTCAACAACCCTGTCCACCGCCCCCTGAACCTCGGCAGCGTCGCTCACGTCCACAACCTCCCAGACCAGGTCCCAGCGTTCCATCTCCTCGCGCGCCTCCTCGTCCGGCCCGTGGACGTCCAGGACCGCCACCTTAGCGCCCTTTCTCAAGAGCATCTCGGCCAGCACTCTGCCCAGTCCGTGGGCGCCGCCGGTGACGACAACCACCTCGTCTTCCCAGTCGACTTTCCGGTGGCGGCCGTACGCGAGGCGGTGGTTGAGCCAGACGGCCAGTTCGGCGACGACCAGAAACGCCGTGTAGTACAGCGTGTAAAAGGCCAGGGGTTCCTTGTGCTTGTGCACGGCGGCCAGACACAGGTAGAAGACGAGGGTGATCCAGGGGTGGAAGACCGAGTTGGCCAGGATCAGCAGCAGCAAGTCCAGCGTGACGTGGCGGGACCATGACAGTCGATTCGAGGGGACAAGTCTCGGTGATGTCGAGGGTCTTGACACCATGATTTCTACCCTTTTTACCGCCCTTGTCTTGCTCCAAGCCCCTTTTTTTTACTTTGTTCTGATTTCTCGATTTCTCTCTTTCCCCCTTGACAGCGTACCGGACGCTTTCTGTCAAACACTTGTAATTACAGTGCTTGAAAAAGATCAACGACTCAAATAATCTGGAGCCGGCCCAGGTGGAGAAGAAATAACGTTTGGTACGAGGACAAGTCAAGCATATCGAGTCGAAGGATTGGATCGAGGAGGAGATGATCAACGGTGCAGCCAAGACAGGCTAGGCCCTTTCCGGACAGACCAGGCCACGCTGCTTTACTCTCTATCTGGTCAACCGTCTCCGGGGAGACAGTTGGCATTTATCTGAGACCAATAATGAAACCCTTTTGATGTAGAACTGTGGCGACAGAACTACTGTACTTATGTTCAGAAAACGTTGGCAAGTCCAAGTCCTGTACGACAGCTGGACTCGACGACGGACAACAGTGACCAAGTTGTCGCCGACAGATGTCCACAGCCTGTATGAGAACCATACAGATGGGACAGTTCACAGCAACGAGCAGAAGAAAAAGCAAGACACAGCTTCAAACCCCTTTTGGCAAGACGACTTCATATTGTCGACTGCCGAGAGGCATTTCTCTGTTCATCCTCTTGACCAATTCTGTCCAGATGCGGAGAAAAGAGCACTTCTCAGCTTAAACCATATTGACTTTTTGCCCTGCAAATCTATCGCCTTTTGATCTTTGGTCCTTCGCCGTCCAGGCAAACGGACAATGCTCACAGACTCCAACCATCTGTAGCCCTCCGAGTAATGCTGGAATGATACCGATGCACTTGCGAGATGTCCATGTCCATTCCCCACGTCGTTCTTACAACATCTCCTGGTCACATATCAGTCCATACCCCTCGGAAGCTCCTCAAGCAATCCCTGTTCATCCCCTTTCCCAGCCTCGTACGTTGTGTGGTGGCCACTCACACTGGCAAGCTGCGGTCCGCTGCTCGTCTTCCATCCCATCATCCCTCCGCCGCCCCATTCGTACTCCTCTTCAATGTGGAATTGGGCTCCTGCCCTTGCACATCCATTGCCGCCTCTTGCAATGACAGCAAGATCCTCCAATTGTCGTGGATCGAAACGAAAGCCGAGATGCCGAGGGATAGGAATAATCTTGGGGTCTTCATCTCTTGGTCGTTCGTTACTGTCGACGTAGGGATATAATGTGGCAGGGACTTCAAGCGAGGTACTCTGCGTATCTTGGCTCTTTCCCGACTCTATTATCTCCAAGCACGATTCGTTGTCGCCCAAGTGAGAAGGCCTGCTCGTCTTCTCAGAAAAGGCATTCATTCCCATCTCGTGAGAGGGATTCCCAATCGCGCCACACGCCACTTCAACAGGTGTTTGGGTAGGTGAAATGGGTGTTTGAGACTGTTGATCGACCAAAGCAAGTGAGTTATTCGCGATAGCTGGTCTGGAGTGCAATGGAATATTTTGGTCAGTCTCGCCCTCGGACGGATCCATGGTCTTTGAAAAGAAGGAAAGTCGCTGGGACCGTAGAAAGTCTAGATCTGGGTTTCGAGAATCATCTCGGGTGGTTGTTGGCACTGTTTCGGAAATGCTATTATGAGAAGCCCGATTGTCAGCCAAAGGTGGTTTGTCTGTCACTGGAGTGATGGGAGAAGAACTTGAGCAGATGACTGAGCGACTGCATGGTTGTCGACCATTTTCTGCTGCCGATGTGCGTTTGGTTGACTTCTTAGCATCGGTCTGTATTGCAGACGCTGCTGTCTGGCCCAACCCAGACGATGAAGCTCGATCGTTGCGTTTGATGCTTGAGGAGTCTGTTGCAACGTGTCGAGACAAGGGATGGCGCTGTTTGGTACTGCAGATACCTCGCTTGTAGGAGCGCCGCAATAGTTTGTTCATTCCATCTAGTTCTTTCTGTGTCATCTCCGGATTGTACGGGAAGGCAAGGTCGATTTCTGCATACCGAGAGTCTGGGTGGAGCTGCCATTTTCCTGCACGAATGCGTGCATCTCGCCATCGGAGCCAGCGACCACCCTCAGTGTCTCCGTCCCATGGAATGTCAGACCCGATTGTATCTGCCGGACTCTGACGTGCTGGTTTGTGATCAGGACCTGTAGGGGTGACCGTGCGATTTTCACAGTTGTCTGCCTCACACGATTCAACCCCTTTCTCCGTCACATCAGCAGCTAACATTTCCTGCGCCTGGACACCTCTTTCAACTCTGGACACAGTGGGCTTGTCCTCGACAGTCTGAGATTGGACAAGTGTGCTCCTGCTTTTATTCCTCCCATCATGGCTGCTAGAAGGCCCTGGTGGTCGCTCGGAGGCTATTCTCTGTTGATACCCCGCGTATGGTTTGTCGATGTACGGACTTGGTCGTCTAGGGTCATAGGGACACGCTTCGTTGGGTTTGCGTAGACTTGGTTGGGAGGATGACAATAATGTGCCCTGCCTCATTTTCTGATCTCTTCGTTTGGGCCAGCGTCCATCCTGAGTGCTAATATCGCAAGCCACAGGATTCCCTTCCTGATCGTAGCCATGGCTCAGTAGCACATCCGATATGGAGGAGAAACCTTCCTTTTGGTCGGTGTTGACTGGTGGAGCGGCACTACAGAGACTCTCTTGCCCTTTTCCTTGATCACGAGCATGGGTGGTATCACCTTCTTTTTCTTCTTCTTCGTCGTCACTTTCGACTAATACCCTTCTGTGTCGCCAGCTCTCTGGTTTGAATCTGAGGTTCCTGTCCTGGTGATAGGTTGTCGATGTCAGCTTCGACTTTGTTGACCAGCGCTTGCTCTCTTCAGATAAATGGGTCTCGGGTTTCCCTGGACTGGAAACTCCCAACGTACCATCTGTAAGTGGATCCGGGAATTCCTCATTCCGTTTCCGAAGCAAAGCTTTCTCCTTAGCCTCCAATTCCTGTCTCATTTGCATTTGTCTTTCCTTGCGGGACTCCAAGTCTTTTCTCAGCGTGTCAACCCGCTCCGTGACGGGAGCGAGAAACTCCTCTGCAGGAGTCTCCCGATCCGTACCAATTGTGCTGATAATTGACCACGCTCGGCGAAACTCGTCTCGGATAGCGATTATGCCGTGGTGTCCGACAGTGCGCGCGACGTTGTGTTCAACTTCAAAAGGATCCTCGATCGCCAACAGATAACGAAGCCGGACTGATTTATGCTGTGTCTGCTGCCATTTCGCCTCAGTCCAGCCTTTAGCTTGCTTAGACATGAGACCGCCTTTTGTTCTGATCGAAATAACATCCCGAGTCCAATGGAAGCCTTGATAGGTTGCGTAGTACTGGAAGAAGCCCCTCAGCAACTGGCCTGCCGACTCTCTATTTGGGTTCGCAGCCATGTCTTCCCGAATTTCCTTCAGACTTTGGGGGTCTTGGACAAAACGGACATCAAACCCCTCGAACAATTCGATTGGTCTATCTGGATGCCATGAGTCGTCAACCTTGGCGAGATGCTGTAGGTTGGGGATGACGGGTGGCCTCGCGACATTCATCAAGTAGTGAAGAACCATCAGAATCCAACCATAGCTTGATAGGGTGCCGCGATATGGAGTGTTGATGTCTCTAGTCTTGGCCCAGATCTTTACAAAGACGCCCACTTCTCTGACTCGCGGATCGAAACTCTGGTAGAGTCGAAGCATGGCTGAGTTGTGAAGAGCCACGAAGTTGGAGAAGTTGATGTCACACTGAATGCCACAATTCTCGGTGAACTCTAGACCAGCATTACCACGACGAACTGGCCTCGCAGGTGCAATGTCTCCAAGGTTGAGCTCGGTCAAGGCCTGCTCAACCGAGTCCATCTCTTTGGTGGGCTCGTCTGCCGTTGGGACGTCGGACTCGACAACAGCTGAATCGCCACGAGAGCCCTCCCACGCGATGCTGTTCTCACGCAAATTGCGAAGTAGCTCTGGGGTTGGATTCTGACAGATGCGAAGGATCGGAACACGCGTTTGAGTGATCAGCCGGGCTCCATATTCGTGGTCAAGAAAGGCTTTCTCCAAGATGCGACCAGTGTCAACCTTGAAGGCTTGTTCTTTCTCTTCCTTATCCGATGCATTCTTGGATTCACTTGTGGACTTCAGGTTGCCTTCAGTTTCTGGTTCTTTGCAGGTGGGCAACGATAGAAGGAGATCCATGTCGGATCCTGCAAGGGCGAACCCGTTGGCAAGACTGCCATAGCACCTCAGTCTGATCTGGTCTTGCTGCAAGTCTGGGTATTCGGAACCCAGTGCTTGCTTTGCAATACTTTCCAAAGTGCGTCGGAAATTCTCCTTGGCGTCTCTCTCCTCTTGTTCAAATTTGTGTTCCTCATATGCCTTTCTACCAACGCTGGTGAGGTAGTCCGCTTGCATCAAGATCGAATGTCTCATAGAGCGCTGTTGTTGACCTGCATTCAAGTGCATGCCATCGTTTGGGTTGTAGAGCTGCCCATGTTGGTGGGTTTGAGGTCGGCTGTCTGAGTATGACGCGCCTGGGTTTGCGAACTGTGCCTGATGTCCTGGATGGAAATGGTGTTGTGGTTGACGTTGCTGCGCACCGAAGGAGCGCGAACCTCGATAGTTGTTACCCCTTGCGCGTTCTTGATACTCCCTGGGAGAGCCGTGACGCGCATTATTGAAGTACTGGGGTTGGGGCTCTGGTGGATATTGCGATCTTGGTGGGTTCGGACCATGGCTTCTCCCACGAGATGGTGGCTGTGCACCAAGAGGAGGGAATGAATCAGGATTAGAGGTCAACGAGAAAGCATGTTGTTGACTGTCCGGACGATGTTGCTCTCCTTGGTCTTGGTGTAACCAGGCTGTTCTGGTTTGGCCTTGGCTGCCGCCACGACGGGCACCTCTTGCTCGAGGTGCAGACTGCTGAGCCATCTCATTGAGTCGATTCCAGACGTGAGGAGAAAAGCCGGACTGATCCCCTGGTGTGTCCATGACTTCGCTGATGAAACCGCGAAACAAGGCTCAGGTGAACCTTACGATGGGCCGCAACCAGGGTGATATTGGCTAGCAAGAGGTGAATCGATCAGCATTGTGTCACGATTAGTGAAAGAGGCAGAAGTAGAATGACGCCTCTCACAGTAGGTGAAGACCTTGAACAGCACGTCTGTCAACAGTAACTCTGAGTGCAATAGAAATGTCAACAATGTGGGGAGTGAATGTGAATGGATGAATGGGAATCAGATGGGGGTGAAGTGAAGTGAAGTGCAGTGTGAACGAACCTACGACTAAGTTCGTCATTGCCTGCGAATGGCATATGCCACCGGCCAGTCACGGAGAATTAGCCGCCTAGCATTACTCTTAGGTGTAAATCTTACCCCCAAGGGCCCCCAGACGCTCGTGCATCCCAGCGGCTCACAAGGATAAAGGAATGTCTTGGCATTCGCTACGAGTAGTTTATATCCTCGCACTCGTACATACCTACGAGGTACTAGGGCCCTACTACCTGCGGCAGCGGGCATCCACGCTTCTTAGGCATCCACCTCCAACTTTTAGGGCATACCTAACGAGTATAAGGAGGCAGCGAGGCAGCAAAATTAGTGGGGGGAAACTCTGTGCATGACGGCAAAACCTCTACTCGGTAGCTGCCCTTGCATCCCAAAACATCAACCGTTCAAAGGGTCACTCACAGCATCCCCATCTCCCACAAACTACACCCTCGGTTGTCAAACTCACAAGTCACCGCATTTATTTCACAACACTTCTTTCTCCTTCTCTCGACATTTGTCTGTATCGATGCTGTGGTTACGGAGAACCCAGCATTAGCGATGAATCCAGGCTCCGCGCCCACTGGGGTGCCCGCAACCCGTCCTCCTGGCGCACCTCCTATGGTCAGGAGAAAGAAGCCTGCATCTGATCCCTTCTTCAAGGGCCCCAGGATAAAGCCTCCTGCGACCAAGCCTCTGCTGAACGGCCATCTCACCCCCCCAGTCAACGTCAACGGTCATCCAGCTCCTAAGTTACCGCCCGTGACTACGAATCCCGCACACGCGCCCTCCCCGTCCGCAGTAGCTATTCCAGATCGCGAGCGTGTGAGCGGCTTCAGTGACCCCCGAATTGCAGCTGAAGGGATATCTTATACGGATTACAAACTGGTGACAACAAAGAGGGATCTCCTCAACGGCCTCAGGTATCACATCCTCCAGGTGGCAACCGATAATCCTTTAGACATTCGCAATGAATCCGAGTTCGCAAAGCCCGTTCGGCTACATCGACGCGATCCTCGCGCCCCCCCTCCGGGACATCAGCAGGAAAAGAAGGAGGAAGAGCAACCCGAACCAAAAGACGGGCTCAATCCTGCAGAGAGAGAAGAGCTGAACCGGCGGAAAGAAGTTCGGCAAAAAGAGCGCGAGGCGAATCTGGCACAAATAGCTCCCTCCCAAACTGCTGGCAAGAAGTTGAACTTCAAAAAGAAAACCCAACAAGTCTTCCGTCCCGACTTTTCGGCCGAGGAGAAGCGCCGAATCCAGAACAACTACGAAGAGAAACTGCCGTGGCACCTGGAAGATTTTGACAACAAGCATTGCCTCGTGGGGCATCATCAAATTGGCTCTGTCAGCTCCAACGCGGCCTTTGTCTACGAGCCGGCAGGAGATGCTTCGACTGGCAAATTCCGGCTGATACCCATTGAAAAGGTCTACCAATTTAAGCCGAAACGCGAGAACCTGCAAAAGATGACTATCGAGGAGGTCGAGGCCGCGATGAAAAAGGGAGGCTCTGACCCCGAGTGGCTGATCCGCCATCGAGAAGCTCGCATCCAGGAAGCCTTGAAAGAGCGCGCGGCGAGAGAAAGCAAGGCACTGTTTTCGGGCGCAGCGCGGACCACAGTCGATGCGGGGCGGACTGGCGAGGAAGCTGATCTGGATTATGAAGACGATTTTGCCGATGACGAGGAGGGCGATCTCTTCCTGGACAAGGACGAGGACGAGAAACTTGCAGAGAAGAGGATCAAGGAAGATCAGCTGCAGGCCAATTTCCTCGATTTCAAGGACCTCAAGGAGTATGATGAGGCCGAAGCCCGAGAAAAGCGCGAAGCAGAGGCTAGAAAGAAGAATTTCCGGGACCTGAGAAAGGCCCTGGAGAGGCGGGAACGGAATTACAACCATGGTAGTGATTCGGAATACGAGTCCTCGGTAAGTCCCTCCTTTTGTGCTCCATTCGGTCGGCTCACTAATACGTTGCGCAAAGACCGACAGCGAGGAAGAACGAGAACGAATCGAGCGTGAGCGTCTGGCCAACATCAAGAAGGAAGAAGACGCAGAGGCCAAGAAGTCTGCTCTGTCCTCTGGTGCCAATACCCCCTCGGGCCGGAAAGAGAAGAGAGCCTCCGACCGCGAAGATGAAGGTGGCATGAAGAAGTCAACATCGACGCGGTCCTTGAAACGCCCTGGCTCGCCGAATCTCTCTGACGCCTCCGGCACGGATGTCTCAACGCGGAAGAAGAAGCTCAAGTCGAAACATCTGGCCTCTAGCCAACCCACGCCGGGTCATTCGAGACCTATGTCCCCCGTCAACTTTCCGCCTAGCTCCTCTGCTCCGCAGACGTTGGACCCATTGGCAGCATTGAAAGCGCGAAAGCGGGCCACAGGTTCTGTCGGGGCTGGGTCTGACACTGACACAGACGCCGCCGCCATGTCCGATAGCAGTCGTGCTCGACGCCTTAAGCTCAAAATGTCAACCTCGCCTCCCCCGAGTGGTGCGGCAGGGACAGCCTCTCCAGCAGCTCAACCATCCTCGCGTGCAGCGTCCCCAACTCCAGTCTCTGCTGGAGGGTCCATCCCCCGACCGGTAGCATTCCCCTCGGCACAAGACATCAAGAACGCGATTCCACCTCAGGGAATAACTGTCAAAGATCTTATGAAGGTAGTGGCACATCCCAAGGACAAGCAAAAGGAGTTTGTGGCGTTAGTCAAGGAGGTGGCGAGCTACGACAAGGAACGGGGTGTGTTGTTGCCGAAATAGAAGTTCGTCAGCGAAGAGGTGTCATGTCGTCGCCACAGATGAATCGTGGACATGAGAGCTGTCGTCGAGCAGAGGTGCTATTCTTCCGGTGTGGAGGTGGTGTTGCTATCCAGTTCTGATTGATAGAAAGCCGCCAGCAACACCAGGCTTTTGTGAACCCAGGCTACATATGGTTATTGATGAAAACGAGGCGCTGGATGTTGGTGAAAGGATTAGAGGCAGCGAGCACACCCCAATGATATATCTTGTACGCATTGTATCCACCCAACCGACGATCAGACCTGTACTCGGTACCAGTGATGGATCGCCTTCTGGGCATTCAATTCACCGGCAACAGTAACGCCACAGCCTCGTCGAGATATCTACATATGGACTGTCACCCAACTGTAGAACTCCTATGAGACCAGACATGGCAGACCAGGGGGAAATTGAATGGTCTCTTCCTGACCATCTCTCTCTCTCTCTCTCACACACACAAAAAAAAGAAGAGACAATGGACATCCGCTGGCGCTATATACACTATATGAGGATGATGATGGTGGTGGTGGTGGTGGTGGTGGTGTGGTGGATGATTGTGGCTTCGCTGGTCGTTACATTATTTGCAGTAGAAACATGGGGATCCGGTATCCAATTTATACAACTCTTTACCATCTTCGCTCTTCGCTCTTCCCTCTTCAGATCCTTTTGGTAAAACCCTTAGCAACGTCCTGCTCACCCTTCCCAACAGTGGGAACACGATAGAGAGGTATGTCGAGGGGCCTCATCAGCAGGCAGTGTACCGTCCACTGACCAGCTTTGTCTTGGTCGGCACCGTCTCCCAGCTCTGCTTCACCGCCTCTCCATCCTCTACCGCCCCTCCATCATCAGCAAAGGGGTCATTTTCCTTTGCCACGAGCTTCTCCACCCCAATACCACTTGCCGTTCGTCCAGGAAGCTCAAATTTCAGCTCAACGCCACCCTTTTTGGCCAAGCCGCCTTGGGTCATAAACCTAACAAGAAGACGCTCTTGCTCGGGTTTGACGGTGAATTCGTTCATGCGCCACACCACTGACGATGTCTTGCGCCGGAAAGTTGCTCCTTGGGTTGGCGCCATCATGGCAGACACAGCTTTGGCGGTTCCTTCCCCAGTCGTATCGGTCGTATCGAGACTCACACTGATACTCACATTTCTGAGTGTCACTGGCTCGCTACCAAAGATGGGGTTGAGGCTGTACAGCACAATCACGCTCACTTGTCCCTCGACAATTTGCCATGCCGGCGTGATCAAGACAGGACTATATTGAGCCAGGTGGTTCTCTTCCATGTGCAATTGGTACTTCAAACAGATCATGGGCGTCGGTCGCCTCAAAGAGGAGGCAAGCACGGAATAGCAGCCCGCTCGTTCCTCAGCTTGAGCTGTCGAGTCTTCAGGCGATTTGATCTGGCTCATGAATATGGGATTCGCGGCCACCTTATCCAGCAGTTCGAAATGTTGAATGCGAATGGTTTCCGTATCTGCATCGTTCGCGCCCGTCGAATTGCAGGCGAGTGCCACTTCGCCGAGCACGAAAGACCTGCTGATGCCGGCTTCGTTAAACCAGGAGTGTACTGTTTCGACCACAGACGCGTTGAGGCCAGGCTCGTGCAGATCTGGATGTAAACTCGGCCCAGCCAAACTCCTAGATGAGTGCATTGAGGCGGTGTCGGAACCCATTGCACCATGATCGTCGTGCAAAACCCCCACAGGTGGCGGCCGTTGAAGGGGTGATGCGAGGGTGGCCTCGGGCGAGGTGGCGTTTTCTGGTATCGTCACAGGCGCAGGACTGCGACCTGTCTGAGGGAGGACGTCCTTGGTGTTCGGGACGTACATCGTGTTCCGCACATCTCTTCGTCCACGTACACTGCCTTGGACACGGTTAATGCCGGCAGTTTGCGCTTGAGAGCGTAGCTGATTGGCCATATTGTTCATTGCTAGCTGAGCCTCGCTCTCGTCCTCTTCAATTGGCTTATCCCGGATCATGAAATTGCGAGCCGGTTCGTCTGAAGGGGGAGAAGCCAAGGCGGCCTCTTGTTGAGCCTGGGTGATCGGGTTCATGGACTCAGCAACAGGTGGTTGAGGGGATACAACTTGTTGGTAGGGGTTGTTGCTAAGCGGAGCTGGTATTGGGCTGATGCTGTCTGTCACGCCAGATTGCGTTTGAGCAACAGACGACTGTGATTCGGAAGACTGTGGATGGGTGGTTCCATTTGTTAGCGGTAGAGGGAGAGGTGGCTCTGACATATCGCGAATGGGAACATCGTGCCGCCGGTCCTGGGAAACTGAAGACGTTGGCCTTTCTTGGGTCACGGCTGGCGTAAGATCCGGTCCTGACTCTTCTAGATCCTGAAAGCTTCGTGATGAATCCCCTCTTCTAAAGGGCACAAATCGCGTTCTCCTTTTCTCTTCCGTGGGAGGCACTGGCGGAGCAACGCTCTTTCTTCTATTCATGACGGTACCAAGTCGCTTGAGGCCACCCAGTTTGCTCTTCTCTTTGTGCGGTGTGGCATCGGGTACTAGAACAAGTCAGAACCAGTCAAACGACATACTGATGGAACTCACGGGGCGCCAGTCTGTCTTGGCCGGCAAAAGAATTTGAGCGGTGACCATCAGACGTGCCACGAGGAGGCGGCGGCGTTGGTGGAGGACGAAGGGAAGAGCTGGTCGGTCTCCCACCAGCTGTCGCGGAACTGAGCCTTCGCAGAGTACTGGGTCCCCCACTCGCGGCTCTCGCTGCAAAGGTCTTGATTTCGTCCGCGGTCTCGACATTGAGTAGTGCATTCAGACACGATTCCGCGCTGACCTTGTTCTTTTCGATGCAGTCCACCTCATGTGTTTGGAACTGTGTGAGGACGTCTCGCAGATGGTTGACTCGTAACTCATCCACGACTTGCAACTGCTCAAAGACATATGGTGCCTGAGCTTCCCACTGACGCGAGGCGTCCTCCACCGTGGTACTAGCTGTGTCGGCCCTTCTTCCACCTTTTGCAGCCTTTCTTTGTGCGTTGGACAGTTCTTTTGCGATCGAGGTCAGGGTTCCCTGCGCGGTGTTTAAGTTATGGAGTGCCTTGTTTCGTGTCGCCCAATTGCGCAGGGGGTTCTCGACGTCGGTTTCGATCTTGGTCGCTAGAGTTTCGTGCGAAGCCGCAAGGTTTTCGGTACCAGACACAATGCGCTGCCAGGGCATCTGGAAAATGCTGCCTCACTTTAGCAACCACAAACAATCGACCGGAACGGTGCATACCCAAGAGCAGCGGCTCCATCTTGCTGTTGCCGTCGTGCAAGCTTCCGCAGACCTGCGACGTAGGCTTCCTCTACCTTCCGACGTTCCTGGCCAAGTGTCAACGTCGCAGCTCCAAGGCGTTACACGAAAATGACCGACCTGAAGCCAATCGGCAATGTCACTGTTGATTTTGGTGATGAGTGTGACGCGGTCATTGAGGATGTTTACGGCTTGCTCCGGCTGTAACGAGGCCTGGCGCAAACAAGATGGTGAGTTTCTCTACAGTCGGAGGCTCACGGGTCCTCGGAGGGATGGTCTTACCAGAAGATTCAGATAGTCGGTGCGCTGGAAATCCGGGTTGGACATTGTGAATAGATGATTCAAGCATTAAACACACTCTATCAAGTGATCAAACCCAGATTTATTCCAAGACAAGGTGGCATGGCAGATACAAGAAATCGGGATGAGGTGTGGAGTCGGCACCGTCGATGAAGCAGAGAAAAGATGATGGAAATGGTCTGGAAGCTCTTCGGTATTTGGCGGGTCGCGATTACATACACAACTAAGTGTCTTGGGTGCCACCTAGGTGCCGTGGGTGCCTATAATGGTAGGGATGGTAGGGACCAGGATGAAAATAAGCGCAGAGGGCCGATGGTGAGGGCCGAGCAATGACAATCCCTCCACACTTCGCTTCGGAGAATTTTCAAGGGGCGTCACTTTTTTCTACTTGGTACAAGAAGTGCTCAGAATATGAACATTGTGTCTCTGCGGCTCTGTGTCATGTATCGCCGTGACTGACTCCTCCATCACCGACACGGATCCCCCATTGAATTAGGGCGCATTGGCCGTGTCTACGTGAACGATGAACTATTACGCAGTCTCCAGGTCATTTCCTGAGGTCTGAGTACCAGACTTCCCCTTGTATGTCATCGGATACTACGAAAGCGAGCCTCCCATAGGGACAAGCGTAGAACAGCAGGGACAGCAAGGACAACAGGGACAGCAGTCGACTTCTCTGCGCAATACAACAATCACCATGCCGGTGGACGTCAGCTTTACCGAAAGACTAGGCAACATTGTGTCTTTGTAAGAATAGCAGACACTTCGCGCCGTCCCATCTAATCTAGAGCCAGGACAAATGCTTTCATTTCAGCAGGCGACGATGGAGATTTGGCTCGCAACAAGGCCAGAGATGTCGAGGGCGAAATTCTGCAGTCGGCTTCTTCTCCAGTATCCGCCGCTCCAAAGAACTCCGTAGTTTGCCACTGACAGGACCAGGAAGAATACCAGAGACAGCTACAAGAAGCCCTACAAGCCTCCCACACCCACGATGTATCGCCCTCGGTCGAGTCCGATCCTCCGCCAGAGCCCGAAATACTGAACCATGAAGGTCCTAGCTTTGGAGCTTACGAGTTCGCAACCTACCATTCAGACGGGCAGATGTCGACGATTTTCAAGGCACAGGCAAAGCATGACAAAGGCCCGGTTCGAATAGTGGCCCTGAAAGTTACTTGTCCGGCCATGACGGCGCCGCCGCATAACTCGGAGCGGGAAGCTCGACTGCTCGTCAAGGCGCGGCATGAGCATGTAGTGCCTCTCCTAGACACCATTCACGAATCAGGGGGGAAATTCATCCTCGTGTTCCCCTTTCTCAGGCAAGATCTGGAAAATCTGCTCCGGTCAGGCAGGTTGGACAAGAACCAAGCAAGCATGGTATTTGATGGACTCTTCCAAGCCTTGGAACACATTCACGCACTGGGCATAATCCATAGAGATGTCAAGCCGTCCAACATCCTGCTAAAGTCGATGACTGGACCAGTCTACCTGATAGACTTCGGCATCGCATGGTCTCCCGAGGACAAGGACTCGGAGCCGGCAGAGTCCAAGATAACCGATGTTGGTACAACCTGCTATCGCCCTCCAGAGATCCTTTTTGGTGATCATTCATACGACACCTCGTTGGACATATGGGCAGCAGGATGCGTTGTCGCAGAAATCGTCAAAGAGGGCCACTTTCCGGTGTTCGACGCTGGTCCGTTGGGCAGCGAGCTCAGTCTGATCAGATCCATATTTACGACGCTTGGGACACCGGATGCTGACAGTTGGCCCTCTGCGAAAGCATGTCGTGACTGGGGCAAGATGAGATTTCAGAAGTACCCAGCGAAACCTTGGAGCGACATTCTGCCCGGTGCTCCCGTGTCCGCCATTGACTTTGTGTCCCGAACTGTGTGCTACGAAAAGACAAGGAGGTTGACTGCAAAGGAAGCTCTTCAGCATGATCTGAAGTCTGTCATTGGGAGATGATGATGCCATCGTAACAGATGCCAAGTGAGAACAGTTGCTGCCAGATCTGGAAAGGGAAAACGACCTCTGGAGGTACTTACCCACCAGCTATTCCTGTCGTCAGAAGCAGGGCGCTTAAGAGTGCATTTTACCCGACTTGTGGCGCCAATAGCAAACTGCCAAATCGCAAACCAAGACGAAGCCTACTCGCAGACATCGACAAGCTGACACAGGCCGATTCAATGACAAAGTCACCCAAAAGTGAGATGGATTTTGTTTGGTGAGTGGGACGAGAGCGGAGCAGTCGACGAGTCCTCGGGACATGTGGACAAACGGACAATCTCATGATCGACGAGGGTGTTGATGGAAACATTGGATGATGATCGAGTGGATGAAGCGTCTATTTGGACGGGCCCTGGTCGGCAAATCTCGCGTGCTGAAGCTTCCTTGATATTTGTATGGTGCTTGTGTACCTGCTTTGTACATACCCGACATCCACCTCGCATCCGAGCACTCCGTACCGATGAAGTCTCCCGTGTAGCCACATTCTGTGTACGAGTCCAACAAGCAGACCTCAGTCGTTGAAACTGCCAAATTGATAGACATTGTTCTGAAAGCACATGCAGTAACCCACAGTTGTCCGATCCCGAACTGACTCCCTCCTGTACGACTTTGGTCGACTAAGTTTGGGTGAAAAAAGGAGCAATCTCGCTCATCTCCCGCTAGAGCTGCAGGTACAGGGTCGCCTAAACTGTTTTGAGGTCCCGGGGAGGAGGGAGGCGTTGAGGTGGCTTGGGCTAATGAGGCCTAAATCCAGGCACACCAATCATCTGCCACAGGGGCCCCTGCTCGGCTTGGTTTAATCATTTCCTCTCCATCCCTCTTCCATGCCACGCCCAGACAGTGGCAGAAGTGGCAGACACAACTGCGCCCTCGTCTGAAACACCTTCAGTCAAACCACTTTCCCTGGTGTCCTTCTTATCTCACACCCCAGCTTCACTGCCACTTTTGCGCTCCCTTCAGCGTCCACGCTCTCTAGCTTCGATTCTCTGTCGCTCCTTCTTCTACCTCGCGCATCTTCTGCTCGAAGCTCGTCGACGCCGCCGAGTTCATTGTTGACATTCTTTCGATTCTGTCTCTCACCCCCTTCATTCATCCTATTATTCACTGCGTGTGAATTGTCGCCCCTCTTTTATCGACAATTCATCACCGGCCACTCCTTTATCCTCCCACCCTCACCAAGTCACTCCCTCTTCAAACAATTCCAGCAGCGCTGTGACATCCTCCTTTGTACATTGTCGTCCTCGAAACACACGGCCGCAGCCACCACCGCGGGCCTGTCCAATCCCCTTCGATTTACCACGCGACGATCAGGACATCCATCCCGCAACCAGCTTCGCATCAGGGTTGTGAGCCATAATCTTACCAAGCCGAGTGCTGCGTACAGTCGACTGTGCAGGCATGAAGATGAATTTTCACGACAAGGTGGTGGAGCTGGCCAGGCGTCAAGATTCCATCACTGATGGAGGCACTGTTTATTCCGTCGTTTATGTCACGGCACAGCCAACCTTTACCGGTGTCATTGGGGGCTATACCACTCTCACCGACGACTCTGCTGCAGAGACAGCTACCCAAGCTTCCAGTCCGAGCGGTGCCGCAACGAATTCTGCCGGCTCATCTGCTCCCACAGCCGGGTCGTCAAGTGTCTCAAGTGGGAGTCTTGCGCCGACCACTACTACTCCCTTGGTTGCACCAACAACAAGAGACAACGGCTCTCCAACTGGCTTGTCGTCTATGACGAACACAGACAGCGGCGCAGTTGCTGCGGTTACTGGAACCCCCGAGTCTTCGTCCACCTCCAGTTCCGGCCTGTCGACTGGTGCGAAAGCGGGTATCGCCATCGCGGTGATCGCCATTGTTGGTCTCATCGCTGTCTTTTTGCTGTGGCTGCTTGGGAAGAAGAGGCGTGAGCGCGAAGCGCAAGCTGCTGCAGACAATGAGAAACCCAATCCTAGTGCTGGAATCAGCAGCACTGAGATGGCGCTCAGGAGTCCGCCCATCAGCTCAACTGCTCCACGAATAAGCCTGAGACCTGTTTCTCGAATGTTGCCCGAGTTCATGGGATCGTCTTCTAAGAGCAGACTCAGCGCTGGCAATTTACTCAACACCATCGGAGAATCTGGTTCTGCCCCTGCTACCGGCCCTGCTCGCAACCTGAGTCCCTCACCTCAACCTCGCGGTCCAAGCCCAACCCGCCTCCGAGGTCCAAGTCCAACTCGCCCTTCACAGGATGACCACCCGAACAACCCTTTTGCTGATCCACAGAATCCCTTTGCAGACCCTGAGAAATCGATGGAAGCCCCTGGCCCGGTCACTAATGCAACATCCACCGCGAAATCAGCTCCTGTCGTTCCCATCATTGCCGTCACTGGCGCTGCTGCTGCTGCCGCTGCTGCCGCTCCGGTCAGCGAAACCAAGGCAGCCCCGGTTCCTCGTGAAGGACCAACTGCCGTTCCTGCTCCGAAGCCGATTACACCTCCTATGACGTCTCCTGCATCAGCACCGATACTGCCACCCGGGCCAACTGCGGAACCTATTTCTGTTCCAGTCCCTGCATCTGCTTCGACCACAGCTCCCGCTCCTGCTCCTGTCCCTGTTCCTGTTGCCATATCCACGCCGAAGCAGCCTGCTTCTCCAGCTTCTTCGGCGCCCGCATCTCCAGCTCCATCCTCCGTGGCCGGTTCCGCATCCGAATCGTCTCAAGGCAATGTTTACCGAGTTCTTATGGATTTCGCGCCTTCCATGGACGACGAACTTGAGTTGAAGAACGGCCAGCTGGTTCGTTTACTGCACGAGTATGACGATGGATGGGTAAGTGACAATACTTGTATTGTATCTGATGGCTCAACTAATGTACTCCTAGGCGCTTTGCATTCGACTTGATCGATCTCAACAAGGTGTGGTTCCTCGAACATGCCTCGCCGCCAAACCGTCCAAGCCCAAGCCATCCCATCTGAATCAATATGCTCGACCACCACCACCTGGAGGACCGATGTCCCGCCCTATGTCTCCCGCTGGTGGTCCCAGAACCCCGATGGGTCCTCAACGCCCGATGAGTCCTGGCGGGAGACCAATGAGTCCAGCAGGAAGATCAATGAGCCCAATGGGAAGGCCCATGAGCCCGAGCGGAAGAATGAGTCCGGCCGGAATGCGGCGACCGATGAGCCCAGGCTTCAATCAGGGACCGAGATCGATGTCTCCGGGCCCTAGGATGGGACCGCCGGGTCGCAGCATGTCTCCTGGACCATACGGTGTTCGGGGTGGCCCGCCACCAATGGCTGCAGCAAATCGACCAAGGAGCAACTCTGCCAGCAACGTCAGAGACAAGCGCAACTCTCCCGCTGGTCCGTCAAAGCTAGGACCTGGCTCGGACCTTGCTTTTTAGATTATCAATCTTTCGTATCTCCCATCATGTCCACGGTACCTTCCATGAGATGACTGTTTGCAAATCGGGTCCCATCGCGACCCTTGGAACATGCACTTTACGATGAAGTACAGTATCGTCGTCGGCTGAGGACATTGTGCCCGGACTTGATCATTTTATGCTTTTACTTTTCCAAGCTGGTGCGTTTGTTCATTTCTGGAACAAATTGTTGAAGACTTCCCACTAGCAGAGAGGTCCGACTGCTGTTTAGCGGATAGTGGTTTGCGAGGCTGGAGAACAGGCGTCCAGGCGAACAAGACAAGATATGTCTTATGCCAGGATAGATAGATAATACCCACATGAATGAACATTGCTTACGTCTGAGTTTGTGTTGTAATGCTGGGGATGAATCCGCTCTGTAGCAATTGACGGCTATGCTGCCAGACCTTGCTTCTCGTCTACCTCGTATATAGCTGTTAGTCATGTTGCATGGGAGGCAACAGGTATGCACAGGCAGCGAAAGGGAAATGAAGAGTGGGATGCGGAATGTCCGATGTTTATCCGATGTTTACCCGAATTACCTATATTTTTGTGAACGTGCGCGACTTGACACTCATCTTCAAGCACTGAATAACGTCTTTCATCAGCGCGTCAACAAATTGATCATCAAGGTTAAACTGTAATGATGGAATCCTTGAAAATCCAGGAGTCGCAAGACTTGCGCCACGACAGCCCTCCTGTCGCTGCACGTCAATATGGTCACGTCGCAAGAGGGGTGATGGATCATTCAGTCTGTGCACAGCCAGAAGAGACCTACAAGCCTGAGCTGCAGGAAATCTTGCTCTGGCTCCGAACGCAACAATGCCGCTTGGACGTGGCCGACGGAATCGAGTTCTTTCTACCTTCAGAGCAGTACCGACAATTCCAAGAGTTGATGCAAAATGACGAGTTTGTTGAAGCGAAGGTGAAGTACGTTTGGACCCGCAAGGCAGTGACATGTCCTGACCCCGACCCGTAACTAACTTGTTGACCCAGATACGACTATTCCAGCGACCACGAAACACTGACGTTCAGAATGGCTGGCCATAGACACGAAGCCCTTGCTGATTATCTCAAGCTGCGTCTGGGATATTTCATCAATAAGACAATGGAACACCCGGAACCAGCCATTGCCGCCTTCGCTTCATCTCTCATGCAAACCGGTTCCGCCCGAGTCAAGTATCCGTCAAGGAATGGTAAGGGCGGGATTGAGCGACGTCCAGACCTGACTATCGCAAACCCAAACATCATTCCATACCCAGTCATGATTGGCGAAGTCGCAGTCTCGCAGACCACACAAGCTCTGGATAACCTCGCACGAGAGTATGTCGAGTCAACTGACGGTCAGATTCGAACTGTCATTGGCCTCGACGTCGATAATCTGATGGGAGCGAGGGTGCGCATCTCGGTGTGGAGGGCCAAATTTGGTGAAAACGGGAAGTTCGAGGGCGTCGCCTGCGACGATAGCGTGGTGAGATGATAAGATCCCACCTGCCGTATACTATTACTGACTGTGTCAATTAGGAAGTTCGAAGCATCGACGGCATCAAGAATCCCCACGATCGCGTCGGACTATCTCTCTTCCTCGAAGACTTTGCTCTTGGTGACGAATTGACCAACAATACGATTCCTGGATCTGTGACCATGACCTTGCAGACCGATGACCTGTATGCGATGGTGGAGAAAGCCGAGGCACTGGAGAAAACTGTGAAGGCCTTGTGGGCACAGCGAAACGGTGGATAGCAGCTTTTGCTCCTGCTGTGAGAGCGCAGCCACGGAGAACGATTTCATGATTGAGTATGAATTGATACCCCCAAGTGTACACGATGAGCATGGCATGGACATGGATATGGGCATGGAGTGCATGAGGGAGCGGCGTCAACGGCTTTGTCTGTTTCATACCTAGCTAGAGAGAGCGATGCTCGCCCCGTCCATATCTTGACCGTCAGGCGGAGCCTCATCCTCTGTCGATGGGCCAGCGAGCCGTCGATCCTGGTCCAAAGGGCGGCAAGGATAGATGGGGAGAGGCCTCTGTCAGCTCTTTTTGAAATAGTAATTTTATTGAACACAACGCTCGACTTGCCACCATTTTTTCGCCCGCGAGGCTCTCTCGATACAGATAGACGGTTTTGTCCTCCTGAGAAGGTGTGTGGGTGTTGAGAATACTCGCCTCACTCGAGAAGCACTCATCGGGACCATTTTTAGACGTGACTGTTCCGAGTACATAATTTATATACCTCTATGTGGGTGGGTATTAATCTCGCTCTGTTCCCGGTCGGAGTAGCGCGAGATGGAGGCTGATATCAAGCGGACTTCTGAGCTCTTAGAGACCTCGACTCCACCGTCCGGCTACGAGGTACAATATTGTCCCGCTTGTCATTTCTATATGGGGAGATGTATATAGATTGGTATCGAGTACTATAATCCCCTGCGTCAACCTGCCCCCCAAACCGATCCGCCTCGTCTTCTTGCTGTCACTTCCTGTGCTGTTTCTTTCTCCCTTCTCGTTCTCTGGCGTCTCTGTCTTTGTATCTACCTCTTTCACAGCCTCGCCCTTTTTCTACCTCCTAACCGACGAAAACCCCAACCGACCGACCAAACAATGTCAGAAACAGACGTCGGCTTCCTGGCCGCCGTGGAGGAGGCTCGACAGGGCTTTGCGGAGGGAGGCGTGCCGATAGGTATGGGAGCATCCAATCCCCGAACCCCTTCCCCCTCCTTGAATTTCAATGGGAGAAGACGTTTGAGGAGGAACGAGGATGAGGAGGGGAATGCCATGTGATATGAGAGAGAGAGAGAGTAAGAAGGTCAGAGTTAAACGTGGAATTTTGTTCGAGGAAAAAACAGGAGCCTGCCTCGTCTCAAAGGACGGCAAGATTCTCGGTCGCGGTCATAACATGCGCGTTCAGAAGGGGAGTGCCACGTTACATGTAAGTACATGACATCCTACACAGCTACCTACCTCCCTGCACCCCTTGCTACAGCACATTCCTGGGGTACCCACGCAAGATACACAACCTCGCACCTCTGTCTACCACTACTCACGTCCTCGGCCTCTATTGCGAGGCGAGAGTGACTGCTACTCATTACCTACTCACCCACCCACCCAACTGCCCTCTCCTCTTCTCATCTCTCCTCACCTCCCCTCCCACTCCCCTTTCCAGCCCACATACATGTATGGAAACTCAAACCAAAACCCCTCTGCCCGCAGGGCGAAATATCCGCGCTCGAAAACTCGGGTCGTCTGCCCGCCTCGGCCTACGCCGGCTCGACAATGTACACGACCCTGTCGCCCTGCGACATGTGCACGGGGGCCTGCATCCTCTACAAGGTCGCCCGGGTCGTCGTGGGCGAGAACAAGACCTTCGTCGGCGGCGAGGACTACCTCAAAGCGCGGGGCGTCGAGGTCGTCGTGCTCGAGAACCGCGAGTGCATGGAGCTGATGAGGAGGTTTATCGAGGAGAAGCCGAATGTCTGGTACGGTCATTTTTCCAATCATCTCTTATCTCTTTCTTTCTGTCTGGGAGGGGTTTGGGGGTTTTTTTTCTTCGTCAAGAAGATTTTCTTTTCGTCCAGTATTCTTCCTTTTGGGGGTGTTTCTTTTCGTATCTTATTGCTGATTACCCCATTCTAGGAACGAGGATATCGGGGAGCAATAATTACTCAGCAATAAAATCCTACATGCATGCAGACCACTCATCTCAAGTCGGCATCTGTACTGCCTCTTCCCCCCTCTTTGCGGCTCTTTATGCAGTACACCGGTGGATCTCTTCAAAGAAGAACTTGAGATCGTCGGGATTGACGCCCGGAGTCACACCGTGTCCCAGGTTGGCGATCCATCGTTGCTTTCCTCCTCCGAAACCCTCGACCATGTTCTCGACCACTTTCGTGATGGCTTCACGGCCTCCGTAGAGCACGCCCGGGTCCGCGTTTCCCTGTAATGTCACCCTCCCTCTCGCGGTCTTCACAGCCTCCTTGGGGTCATGCAACCAATCCAGGCCTACAACATCATAACCCAAGTCGCACAGGTCGTCTAGAGCGTACCAAGCGCCCTTTGCAAAGACCACCATGGGGACCACATCTTCGCCCATCTCCTGTAACCGCTTGGGTAGCTGCTCTGCAATATAGCGTAGCGACGGCAGAGCGATCTCCTTGAATGACACTGGCGAGAGTTCCCCCGCCCAAGAGTCGAAAACTTGCACAATCTGTGCTCCTGCGGCCACCTGTAATGCGAGATACTCGACACAGATGGCAGCCATCTTTCGCAGGAGAACCTTGCTCTCTTCGGGATACTTGTAGACCCACGTCTTTACTTCCTTGAACATTTTCGTGCCGCCTCCTTCCACCATGTAGCACAGCAGCGTCCAGGGCGCGCCGCAGAACCCAAACAAGGGCACCCGTCCGGCCAACTTCTCCCGCGTCAATGTGATGGCCTTGTACACGTAGTCCAGCTCCTTCTTAACGTCCACCTCCCTCTTCACAATCTCCTGGTACTGTGCGTCCGAGGGGCTGCGGAGCGGGTTGGGGAACCGGGGCCCGACGCCGTCGACCATCAGCACCTCCATGCCCATGGCCTGCGGGATGACAAGGATGTCGGAGAAGATGATGGCCCCGTCGATGAGGCCGTCGTATCGGTCGATCGGTTGGAGAGTCAGGGTCGAGGCGATCTCAGGGGACCGGCAGCACTCGAAGAAGTCGCGCTTGCCCTTGGCCTGGTGGTACTCGGGAAGATAGCGGCCAGCTGTTTTTGGTTTGTGAAACCGCGATGCGCGGGGGAAATGTTAGCAGCGAGATGAGGGAGTAAGGGAAAAGGGAACAGGGGAAAGATGATGGGGTTTAGAAAGCGACCCTTCAATGCCACCATGGGAGGAGGAAGAGAGGGAGGGAGGGAGGAATAGTAGCAGCAACAACAACAACAACAACGGTCGTGTGATCGTACCTTGTCGCATCACCCATATCGGTGGCCTGTCAACTTTTTCGCCTGTACATCTATTTTAGTCGGTGGGCGATTTGGATAACCTTTTCAGGTGCTTTGCTTTGTAGGCGTTTTCGAACGCCCTTGTGTACAAACGCACCTCGTGCGGCCCGCAGGAGTCGGTCATTCTTCAGAGGCGGCCAAGTCTTCCCCATGTTTTTTCCCCTTCCGACGAACAAAACTGAAATCAGGGACAAAAATTTAGAGAGAGAGAGAGGGAGGAAGGGAGGCCGGGTCAAGTCTAAACTGCCTTGTACAGGACCCCTCTGACTTTGGAACTCGGGAAAAATGTCATTGGGGTCTTTGTCAATGATGATGCGTGGAGGGGCGCAGAGGGGGGCGGGGGGTGGCACCAGAGGTGATATTTTTTTTGGTCAAAATCGACTCCACAATTCCATCTTATTGAGGTCTTTTGCCCACACAGCCTTGCAGGATCTGCCATGCCCCGCGTCTACTCGGTACATAATACGGCAAGGCTGCATTTTCCCTAATGAGCACCAAATGACCTTCCTACTTTTGTACCTAGCTAGGCGCTGGGTAAGCTATACTATTTAGCCATCATATCGCCCCGATGCAGTCTTCAGTACCTTCAGGAAAAGACGGAGACCATTGATGGCTATGTAAGTCATCGCTGATCACGACATCCCTACTGCATCGGCGGGAACACCTTCAGCACCTCCTCCGTCTTCCTCCTCAGCATCCGCCTCAGCTTGGCCCCTTTTCTTCCGGAGATTCTCCAGGCCATATAGCATCTCTCCAGCAGCGCTATATGCCCCCTTGTCCTTTGTCTGACCTTCTGACGGTAGCGTACCCCTACCACAGTCTGGGGCAGACGAATTCAAAAGCATCGCCAGGCTTGATGTCTCCCATCTCAGCTCCGCCTCAGACCCATTGGAGCCCCCAAGCAGGTTGTTGCTTGTGCTGATGTCGTCAATAGTTAGGTTCGAAAACAGTTCAAATGTCTCAAAGGCCTCTGCTGCTGGAGTCTCCTCAGGTCTCAAGACCTGGATGGAACCAGGTTTATGTATTGTATCAATGCTGACAACAATTGCCCACATCGCCGGGCCGACGGTCACGTCCAACACGTTCCCTCCTAACGTCAGGGTCTGATGGTGCTTCAAGTGACCGTCTTGGTTGATGCTATAGCTCAGCAGCATCGGGAGCCTAGAAACCTCATTTAGCGCTGGCCCAAAATCTCTCGACGTCATTACTTACCCTTCAAGTGCAACCAAGAGTAAGTGCGGAGGATGGCGTGAACGTGGTGAATTGCCCGAGACGGTGTAATGAACGGGCCAAATATTGGACACTGCCAAGTTTTCTAGCGAACGTGCACCGGATTCCGAGTCGAGGCAGTTGACAATATCTGTCCCAACGTCGCCTTGGAAGAGCTCCTGATCGAGCATTTTCCCGGTCTGCCAATTGTAAACCTTCAGAGAAGGCTCACCGCTCCCCGTCACCAGTATTTCCGGATTCCATGGCACGATACACAGCTTGCTCACAAACTCACGATGGCCGAAGCAATAGTTCTCGATGATATGAGCTTGTGTTACTCCCCGGGACACGCGAACGTGCTCATCTCGATCTGAGGTCAAAATGTATTGGCGACGCTTGGGGCCGGTCTGGACTTCGGTGATGGCGACGTCGGTCAGGAGTGACACATGGCCCAGCAGCAACTTGCATTCGAACTGGGGACCCTCCTTCCTGCGTTGCGCCGCCTTTTGCTGACGCTGTTGCCTCAGTGCTTCCAGGTTACCCTTTGTATGTACTGTCAACTCTGAAGCAGAAGGGGAAAAAGTCACTTGTTGCTGGTCCGAAACAGGCTTCTGTGGCGTCCACCCGGGAGTAGGATGTAGGGGCAACAAATAGACATCGCCGAATTTATCACCGACGAGGAGACTCTTCTCATCTGGCGTTAGGACTATTGCACAAGTGCGCTTTGGCATTGACCTGGGAAGACTAAGCGTCACAAGCGAGCTCATCTGTCGAAGCTTTGCTTACCTCCGACTTTTGAAGTGCAAGACGCCTCTCGTCAGTACATCGAACACGATGACTGATTTGTCCTCGGCTGTGACGCAGATGGCCGTCTTTCCGTCACTGGTTGCGATGATATGAGAGATGTTCGGCAGGGTAGTATTTTCTACCTTGGGCTTCCGTCGCTCACCCTTCTTTCTCTCCGATATGATTTCAATCGAGTCTTCGGATTCCAGGTGGGAGGGTTCTCCACGAGGTCCATCGCCTATTTTTCGCCTTTTTGGTGGCCTAGCTTCCTCGCCGTTGGTCCTGGCCTCGTCGTACTCCTCTTCCTCCTCGTCGAACGGCCGCCATTCGCTCAATAACGTTCCATCTTTCAAGTCAAGAGAATTAACGACTGGGCCAGAAGCTGCCAGCAGGAACGGTTGTTGGCCGTCGACCGGCTGGACGCAGCATAGCTTCTGGAATGGGTAAAGAACCATTGATACTGAATGCTTATTTCAGGCGCCTGAGCCGACGGCGGGCAGCCTCCCGAATTTGGGTCTTGACGGAAATCCTCCCTTACAGGACTCACCACCACTGGGATATCTGTTTTGCAGAACTCCAGCGTACAAAGTAGCGAGGCAGAACAGATCCGAACCACATGAGAAGCCTGCTTCCTTGCAGTGTGGTAGAATTTTGATAGTGCCCCTCCTGAAATAATGCTTCACCGTTTATGCCAAGATATTTCCACGTGACACAAATCGCACTCACGAAAATAATCTCCCAAGGTCTGGCCGAAAATTTGTACACCGACCATCAACACCAATCCACCCCGTCACAATTGCAACAGTTTGCCCTTAAACATCCTAACTTCATCCCATAAGAAGTCATGGGGGGCAAATCCGGTACTAAAGCTGTCTACTTCGACAAGCTCAAGGGCTTGCTCGAGGAGTACAAGTCCATCTTCATCGCAAGTCCCCCTCAAAAAGACCAATCAGCCAGCCAGCTAACAAGATTCAACAGGTCAGCGTCGACAATGTCTCGTCGCAACAGATGCACGAGATCCGACAAAACCTGCGCGGTGAAGCCGTGGTCTTGATGGGGAAGAACACCATGGTCCGACGAGCTCTCAAGGGTTTTATCACCGACAGCCCCGAGTACGAACGTTTGCTGCCTCACGTCAAGGGTGCGTTCAGAAGTTTCAAGCCAGAAAGAGAGAGGAATACCATTGATCTGACTGATGGCAGGAAATGTTGGATTCATCTTCACTAACGGTGACCTGAAGACCATCCGTGACAAGATTCTCTCAAACCGTGTCGCAGCTCCTGCTCGTGCTGGTGCCGTTGCTCCTGGAGATGTCTATGTCCCAGCTGGAAACACTGGCATGGAACCCGGCAAGACCTCTTTCTTCCAGGCCCTCGGTGTCCCCACCAAGATTGCTCGTGGTACCATTGAAATCACCACCGATCTCAAGCTCGTCGAGGCTGGCGCCAAAGTCGGTGCCTCTGAAGCCACTCTTCTCAACATGTTGAACATTTCTCCCTTCACCTACGGTATGAAGGTTCAGCAAGTGTACGAGGAGGGACAAACTTTCTCACCTGATGTGTTGGATATTGAGGAGAGCCAACTGCTCAAGTCTCTTACATCAGCCATCGCTACTATTACCACCATCTCCCTCGCTGCCAACTACCCGACGCTTCCATCCGTCATCCACAGCTTGATCAATGGCTACAAGAAAGTTATCGCTGTTGCCATCGAGACTGATTATGAGTGGGACGCAATCCATGAGCTCAAGGATCGCATTGCCAATCCTGACGCATATGCTGCCGCTGCGCCGGTGGCGGCTGCTGCGACTGAGGAGGCAGCACCTGCCGCGGCCAAGGAAGAAGAAAAGGAAGAGGAGAAGGAAGAGTCTGACGATGAGGGTGCGCAACATTCCTTACACAAAGATCCAACAGTCCAAGCTAACACGAACCAGGCTTCGGTGGTTTATTCGATTAAACCCCTCGAATATTGGCGGGGTTCAGCACGTGCATATGCAAATGAAAAGCTTCAGGCGGCCACAGCGAGAGCAATAGACATGCAAGATAGGTGCAATAGCATGATTGCAACACAATGTCGCGCAAGTCGGGCGTTTCTTTTTGGAACTAATCGGTTGGACGACCAGGGCTTCTCTGCCTCCAAAGGTTCATCTTCGGGTAAGCTATGATCCCATTCTCTACTGCCTCGATTGTGACCCATGTGATGATCCATTTTTAACCCCGAGAACTTGTTTGCTCCATGAAGAACAAAATCATGCAACAACACTCTAATTTTTTACTGACGCCCTTGTCTCTGCCATTGGTTATCCTGTGTTATTGGAAACAAAATGCTGATGTTTGATTCAAGGTTTGGGATCCACTCCAATGTTACGGTCGCCACATCCAGCCTCGTGCCTATTGCCAGAACTCCTAGCATCAAATCAACCTCGTCTAATGCCTCAATGCCTACTAGGAAGCCCCATGATGATCTTGTACTTGATTAAGCGATGTCTTCCAGTGCGCCTCCATTCCAGCATTCCCATCAGAAACTCGCTCGCTCAACCTCTGAAAATTACAACATGTGGCCCGCAGATTGTTCCGACTTGGTGAAAATACAGAATTGCACATGGCGCAGTGACAAATACTAAGCGGCAAAATGCTTCGGTTTCCTTTGCTCTGGGATCACCAGCTGCTTCTCTTTTTTCTCAGGCCCCTCTTGTGCTGAACTGTCACTGCTTTGCTCTGTGGCCATTGGAAGGGAACTTCCCTGAGCTCCAGTCTCCCACGTCGCCTTGTAGCGGGTCCAGAGCTGACCAACGGATTCCCCAAAAATGCCCGTCCAGAACTCGTGCTCATGATACCTCACCTTCCGCATAGTCTCGTTCATCCGACTTACGGTGCCGGGTCCTCGTAATTCCTCTAACCAATCAAGAAACCACGCAGTCTTCTGGTAGCCCTCGTCCCATTTCTGCCCTCTGTTCTCGGGTGACTTGTTCCAATGCGGTGGCGAGAGGCCGGCCTTCAATCGAACGAAGTCTGCAATGCCCTCAATGAGCCCCCCAGGAGCAGTGCCATGACAGTTGCCCTGAAAACAGTGAACCATCTCATGCGTGATGACTCCGGCAATCTCATGGCGTAGTCCTGCTGAGTTTCTTGATAAGACGCCGTGAACATAGTCGAGCGACAGGTGAATCTCCTTGTGGAGGTCATCAAGTGGCAATCCAGTGGTGTAGGCCACTCCCCCCATGGCGCGTAGGACTACCGTGACCGATCTGACTCTGGGAATTTCGCTCAACCCGTAAGGTCTGTACAAGTGCATTACGACGTGTTCAATAGCTCTGGTCAGATATAGGCCTCCATCCAGGGAACTGGAAGCCACCTGGGCAGCCGGGTGGCCAATGTCGTCGAGGTGAAGTCGCAGGACGGGTTTGTGATGGAGCTGTGGAGGCAGGGTGGGAGCGGTCGTGTCCTGGGAGGGAGGGGCAGTCAATGGAAGTTCCGCCATGTCTATATTTTCTAGAGAGCTTGAGAGATGGTGACAGGAGGGAAGAATCGTCAATGGTTAATCCGTGGGAAGTGATGACAGAGGTTGGTGAACCACAAAGAAGCCAAAGGGAGCCAAAGGCAAGCGGAGGCAGTTGCGGGCTTCTGATTGGGTCCCGCGCCAAGAAACACCCGCTCAACTTCCCGCTCCGAGTCGCTGGAGCCAAAACATCAACACGAACCACGAACCACGAACCTCAACCACCACAACGTCGTCGCCTGCTTCACCTCCTGACATCCTTTTTCCACAACCTTTTTCTCTCTCAGCCTTTGGAACCAACAACGATATCCATGAGCACGCAGACCTTTTATCGCAAATTCCCTCGCCACCCCGCTTCGCCTTGATCAGGTAGGTGTCAAATTTTCTCTCATATGTACCAGCTCCCCCCCCTTGAGCCGATTGTATGAAGACTTCCCCCAGACACATTCCCGTTTGCAAGAGATTACAACTGTTGCCGTAAGCTGTTCAATTGAAATCAATTGCACTGCATTGATCCATTTCTCTGCCTTATTCACTGCTCCATATCACTCTTCTCCCCTGTCCGTCACCCCTCTCACCTCTCTACCTGCCAAACTGGTGCGAGGAATACCATTGGGTATCTAGCAAGCAGGACAAGATGGCGTTCTTCCGCAATCACATGAATTTCCGTATGGTGTTACCGTGTTACCATCTTTGGCTGGCTGTGTCGTTCTTCGGTGCTGACCTCTTGTATAGTCAAGGCTACTACCGCCACTACCTTCAACCAGACCGTCAAAAAGGTCGACACTACCATCCCTGCTGTTGGAAGAGCCGTCTACTTTGCCATTGCAGGCGCTAGAGCCAAAATGCTCGGCAAAACCTATGCTGATGTGCTCAACTTGCTGCATTACGAACTCACCCTTCCAGAGACCGAGGAGAGCTGGAAGAAGCGCCAGGATCTCCTGGCCGAACTCTCGGACATCTTTGAGAAACGCAAAGAAAACAGCACCATCCCAAACGACTTTGTCCAAAAGGTCAAAGCCGTCTTACCTCACATTGTCTCCACGGCCGGTTCTGAGCGCACCACCTTGTCTGCTCAAGCATGCCGAGCCCTCTCCAACATTGCCAAACACCTCGAGAATCAAATCCAGTCTCAACTCGATCTTCTTCTTCCAGGCCTCATTGCTATTTGCGGCTCGACCAAGATGGTCAATCAGAAAAACGCCAATGACGCCATCATGAACATCTGCAAACATGCTGGTTACAGCCCCCGTCTCTTCTACCATGTCTGCGCTGCCTTCAAGGACAACCGCATTCCTCCCCGCACTTATGCGCCCGAGTGGCTGCGCATCCTCATTGAAACCTATCGCTCTCAGATGGACCGTGAAAAGGACGGTCCTGCTTGTGAAAAGGCCATCGCCGCAGGTCTCACGGATGGACAAGTCAAAGTACGCGAAAATAGCCGTGCCGTCTTCTGGACTTTTCATTCATATGACCCACGAGGTGCCCGAGCCATCATGGGGACCCTCAATACTCATGCTCAAAAGGCTTTGAAAGCCGATCCACACAATCCCGACAAATCCTCCACCACTGCTGCGCATGCCAATGCGCCGCCCAGACCAAAATCGGCACTTGCCTCGATCAAAGCTCAGAACAAAGAACGCATGGCTCAAACCAAGGAGTCGTCCCAACAACGGGGCTTGACTCCCGAACCAATCAAGTCAGACGACTTCAAAGTCTTTGGGACCATGGACGACACCGAAAAGAAACCTAGTCTTCTCTCAGCACCTGTCAGGAGACGCATCGTTGCTACCCCAATGCCTTCGGCCAGCAGTGTCCAGCGCCCTGATTCTCGTGGCCGTGCTGCAACGTCGGCGTCTTCCGTGTCGAAAGACAACTCCACCAACATAGTGCCGGAGACCGTGCCCAAATCCAGTTTTGAGACGGTCACCAAGTCCAGCTACGAGACAATCAAATCTGATGGCAAAGAAAATGCCATGGTGATACGTCCACGCAAGAAGCGATCTCCCAAGAGGTCACCTAAGCGGTCTCCCGAACGAGATCGACTGGCCTCGGAGAAAAAGACGCTTCTGATGGCCATGGAGGCACTTCGACGGTCCAGCTTGGATGCCCTGGGCTACCGCAGGCTCCGAAAACTGATTGAGGAGAATCCTGGTGCTTTGATCACCAAGCACTCACAGTTTAATGAACTTTTTGAATTACTCATCCACAACATGGCGTCGCTGGACATGATCACCGAACCTCGAGATAAGCGAGCCACCAACATCAACCATCCCGCCTATAACACGCACACGATCCTCATCACCCTGGTCCACCTCTTCCAACAATATCCTCAATGGCCTGAACCACAGCCTGGATTGACCTTGTCGGCCCTTCTCATTGCCCGATGCAATCACAGCTCTTCATACGCATCCGTCCTGTCGGCCATCGACGACGGCGCCTTTCTTCTGTGCAGCCACACACAGACTGTTCTCCCCACAATCGATGCGGTGCTCGACACCCTTGAACAAATCGAGTGTATCATTACCAACAATCCTATTGTTACCCCCAAGTCGACGGACACTATTTTGTACAACAGCCTTCAGAGCCTGGCGTCGGACTTCGGCCCCGAAAGACCTCGCTTTGCGAATAGGCTCCCTATTGTTATGGACTTTGGACTGAAGATCCTTAATGCTCTCCTCATCCGAGTTGTTTCGTGCAATGAAACTCTCTACGAGATCCAAGAAGATCGCCTCGCCGCCTACGCCGAACACCTCCTCGCCACCTATACATCCATCATCAAGAGAGCGGTCATGAACTTTTGCATCAACCTTCACGCCGTCATCAAACCTGAAGCTCGGTTCTACAAGTACTTCAAGAAGGAGTCGGACAAGAACTTGATTCATTATTATGTTGACGTTGCTGCATCACCTTATTGAATGGGGGTGTCGCACACTTTGTTATTACTATTGTTAGTATGGAGGTTGGGTTTCAGATTCACTGTTGGCGTTGAAGGGCTGGGGAGGACGGGGCTTTTTTCATTTCTTTTTTCATTTTACTTTCAACCAGTGTTTTTGTACCATTGTCGTTATTATCATCATGAAGGTCACTGTCAACGACGTCTTACGAGCAGTTGCTGGCATTTGGAAAGAACCCCAGGGGACATGTCCACGGGCTTTGGTAAGTTGGGCGTTTCTGGGACTGGTCACAGGTGGAATCGGACAGGGAAATGGATAGAGAGAAGATGAATTCAAATTGTTTCTGTCAAATTGCCGCTTTGCCTTTTTGGCCACTGGACTTTCTGACGGCCCCCATCCCAAACCGCATTCTAATCCCCATAAGCACCGAGTACTTATCTGAGGCATCAACAGATCAGGCTGAGGTGGCCAATTCGTCCATATGTACTCCGTAAGCTGGAGTCAGGGGCTGTGCCAAGTGAAACAATAGATTTGCTGCACGCGGCCTGGAGTAATCTGCCAGGGTAGTGAGTTGTGACACGAAACATGAGGGACTATGAGGGACTATAGGATGCCGACCTTTTCTGATGGAGGGGGTAAAGCTAGATAGAGATGAGTTTGTGATTGTTCTACAGATTGGTATCCACGCCACGAGGAGGCTGTGTAACTTGGGGGTATACCTCGTACTGTACCGAGTCTGTTCGTATCTCTTCTCAACCTGCTGGACCACTGCAGTTCCAGCTCGATTGCCGTCACAACTGTTGATTTCTACCGAGTACCATATGTACCTCGTACGAGTGTGTTGTGGTGGTGGGTTGGCAATGAGATTGCGCACTGCATCTTTGCATTCCCCCCTCAAAGAAACCCCCCCTGAGCAAGTAAAGCTTCAGCAGATTTTCTGACTTGCGCTGACGCTACGCTGCTAGTCATTTCGACCATTGCAGGACGAGTGCTAAAAGTGCTAAAAATGCCCCAGTGGTGCAAGTCGATCCAAGCGATCAAATGCGATCAGGCGGGACCAAGAATGGATCAAGAGTTTTAGCTGCAGCAGAGCCACAGAGGCACTTTGAGGCCAACTAGGGCTCTCAAGGCTCTTGCGCAACCTCACTCGTTCGATTGCGCCTGGAAGGTCACTTTAGCGGGACACTTCGGGGGTTCAGTGGCACTGGGTGGTGCGCGTCGCCCACTAGCCCCAGTAACCTTTAACTAAACGGGAGGCCCATGGGGGGCCCTCAAGTCTCCTGAACGGTGCACCATCCGCCCGCTAACGCCTGTCCAAGTGCTCCCTGCACACACTTTCACACTTGTGCTCGAGCACATCCAATCACCTGCTTGGACCCTGAGAGGCCAATTCAGGGCCTCGCACTTCAATCCTCGTAGGTGCGTGTGTGCGTGTGAGTGAGGCGTGAGCCTTTCGTTGCCCTACACCAAGTGTGAACTCCGCGCAAACTCCCCCAGAGCATCCATCTTTTGCATCACGCCTCTCTCTCACAACCACCACCCTCCATTGACCAGCAGCAGCCCATCTTCCACGCCTCCCTGTCTTTCTGTCACCCGTCCTCGACACTTGGCTGTACGCTGAACACCATCACTCTAATCGCTGCGAACAAGTCTAAACCCCCCGTCATGATCCTTCGTTGACCGTTTGACTTGACACCATCCCGTCACCAAAGGCTGCTGTCTGCGCAACCACATCCCAGTCTCTCACTCTCCTCCACCCGCCTTTCTCTGCACGAGCTGAACCCGCCCTACGATCCTTGCCATTTGTTTACCTTTCGTTCTCTACACTCGCCTTTGTACGACACAGAAATATTCCACTCAAGGCATTCTTGTCTGTCTTGCTTCTTCAATACTCCTCAATTACTGTCTTTGGCTTATTGGCCAACGGAGGGGAAAAAAGGCGACCATACCAGCATCACTCGGCCGCGGCACGAGCGTCGATTGTCCTTCCAGTTTGTCCCGATCAGTGTTTCAGCTGCAGGTCAGCACACGGCCTCGCCCATAACTCAGAAGAATAAAATAATTTCCCGCCAAACGTACAATGTACAGGATCTGAACGTTTTTGAGCTTTGTTTGCAACGAAAGGGAAAAAGAAAAAGTGGGATTATTAATGCCATTACACCCATTCTACCGACTCTGAAACGACGAAATCTCATGTGGACATAAAATCCACCATATGTCGACAATCTCCAGCACATACCGATAGCAGAGGACATAATGGCCACTGCGATGGAATCTCCTGTGGCTTTCCCTGAGTCCCCAATGGAGGCAGATGACGCCGCATACCCTTGCAAAGGCTGTGGAAAGGTGAGAGTGCCCCAACTTCATGTCCCAGACAGACAAGCTAACGAGAGAATACAGATCCTAGAGGAGGGCAAAGCCTTTGAACTGGGTAATTATCAGACCTCCGTTCTTGTTTCTGGCTGGGGGACACCCTTGTGACTAACATCATCAAGCTGGGAACCGATGGCACATCGATTGCTTTGCCTGCAATACCTGCGGCACCCTCCTCGATTCCGACGCCAATCTACTTCTTCTGGGCGATGGATCTTTGATATGTAACAACTGCACTTACAGCTGCAGTAATTGTGGAAATAAGATTGAGGATCTGGCTATTCTGACAGGAGACCAAGCATTTTGCGCCAATTGCTTCAAATGCCGGAACTGCAAGAGAAAGATCGAAAATCTCCGTTATGCCCGGACGTCGCAGGGCATATTCTGCATGGATTGCCACGAGGCTCTGATGGCCCGGAGACGCAAAAGGACGACCAAAAACAGCTCGCAACGCTCCAAATTGTCAAATAATGTCCAGCTGGACAAGTCTTTGCCCGCAATCCCGCCCCCAGAAGCCAGGAAGACCGCCTACATTCCGGAAAGTCACTCGTCCCCCTTTCCCGAGGTCTACACAGAGCCCTCCGAAGCAGGCATACCTTCGGTGGGTAAGATGGTTAGCGAATTGCAAGGCGATTCGGACTCGAGGCCATCCACATCAGATCAAAACCATTCACGCGGTAAGCATCCCGCGTCTGAGCCTTGCGGGCCGCCTGCTGATCCCAACCTATTTCTAGATATGCTCACTTTGCCATCGACAACCTTCCGCAACAATCGACATTCTGTGATGTCGCAACGATCAGACTTATCTGGTGGGGCAGGTGGTGGTTCGGGAGAAGAATTCTTGATCCCGCTTGCCTTTGACCCTACTCCACAGCCGGCGACCGAATCGCCCAGCATATCAAACCAAACAACCCAAAGATCTATCGAGGAGAAGCCCACGGATTATTTTACCAGCAAATCGAACGCGGCAAGTGCCCAGTCACACGTTACTAAGTCCAATACCTCAAGTCCCCATATTGCCTACCAAGAGAAAGGGCGTCTTCCGTCGAGAGAAGCTGTCGACCAAACTCGTAGAGGAGGAAATCTGAGCATTTCGGGTTCTGCGAACGCATCACCCTATATCCCGGTAGAGCAGTCGAAGAGATCGGAGGGTTCACCACGGCTGTCGCAAATCGTCCACACCAACGAAGTACAACACAATGACAGATTCAAACTTCAAGAAGCACCAAAATCCAAGAAGTTTTCAACCTCGACGCTGGGGTCACGGTCAGAGGGGTCGACTCCCAAAGCCGACCTCTCTACCGACCCCATTGACCAACTTGCCACCAAGCCGTTGACTGCCCCGGACATCGGGTCACCCTCAGATGGCGACTTCTCGACGCCCATGCTCTCGAACGACTCCAGTCCAGCATTCAGTGGTTCACACGGTTCTCCCAAGCCGGCACAGTTACCCGCGACCTCGATCTTACAGAACCTGCCTAAACGAGGGGACTCTTTAGACAGCGCGAAGCGCACTCAAAACATACCGCGTAAGGAATTGGGCGCCGCGGCAAACATTGGCACCCCGTCAGGTGGCAGCATGAACAGTGGCTCATCTACTCCCAAACCGGTGGCCGATCTCGCGAAGGCAAATGGTGGGAAGGTCATTTCTGGCCCCATAGGTTCACCGAACTCTAAAGGTATCTTCGATGCGGCGGTAGATGATTCTCTGATCCAAGATCTTCACAACACCGGCAAGACGGGCAATGAATCTTTCGTTGACCCCCGAGCGCCACCACTGCCGCCTTTTGATCATTCAAGGTCGAGAAATGAGTCCTTTAGCACTCTTCAGTCGGAGAACCAGCGATCTGGAGATGGCTACAGGTCTCCAGGTCTGCCCAGGTATTCGGCAGGTGGAGAGTTCACTATGGATGAGGACATGGCCCGGATAATGGCCGGCGAGGAACCCAGCGCGCATGAGTCCTTCCTTAGGAGGGTTTCGAACTCTGTTCGCCATGGTCGCAGTTACAGTGACAAAACGGGTCGACTGTCCAAGGACCGCTGGCCTCGATCGCCGGCTATGCCAATCTCGTCAATTGGCCAGGAAATCAGCAGCCCCAGCACAGCGTCTCCCGAGAATCGTGATGAACTCGCTTGGTTCAAGAATGAGCTACGACGTGAGCGGCAGAGAACCATTGAACGGGAGAAGAGGATCGCCGAACTGGAAATGCAGCTTGATTCGGCCGCAAATATCAAGCAGGTGAATGTTGAGCTCAAGGAGAAGAGATCAACGATAGTCGTCCTCGATACACAAAAAGAAATTGTCATAAGAGAGCTGGAAGTTCTCACGGAACATCTAGCCGCTGCAAAGCACAGCGGCGAGCGATTCGACCTTGGAAAGTTGAGCAACGTTGTGCTTCGCGATTTTGCAGAGGCACTGGAGAAGCTCAAGGACTCGTTCGCGCCTCAGATCGAAGCCTCAATCCAGAAACGAAATGATTTGGTCGACGAGATTGCCAATCTAACTCAGATGAAAGATAAGAGCTTCATGGAGTTCGAGCAGCTGTCTTCGAAAAATGCCCAGTTGGCTGAACTCAACAATCAGCTGGTACACCAGATCCAAGGTCTGTACAAGGCCAATTCGGGCAAGGACACTGATCAGCCAAAGT